GCTGGCAAGGGCCGTCGTGTTGGCTCTTTTCATCACCGACGGCGACTGAAGGTCGCACTGATATTAGGAACCGCACGCACACGCACACCAGTGGGGGGGGGGGGATTTTGGATACTTCGGGGCGCGCGAGCTGGGGCGCTTCGGCGCTGGCCTCCTTCGTTCGCCGGAGCTTGCCGGGACCAATCGACGGTTCGGCCGCGGCCGCGGCGGCGGGAATGCTGGGCGGGGAGGCCGACTCGCGCAGCCGATCGCGCAGGTTGGTCGTCGTCGTCCGCACGCTCGCCCGGGCATTGGCCGGCGGCTCCGCCACCGCCGGCGCCGCTGCCGGCGCACCCCGCGCCGCAACCGGCGGCGACAGCACCCCGGCCGGTCCCGCTGCCCATCGAGCCCGGTCAGTGCCTCGCTAGGGGTGAAGGGGGCGGATGGGGGGGGGGGGGCGCTACCGGCAGTGCGTCGTTCGGCGGGCGTGACGCGGACGCTTTGTGCGGCGGAGGGGGCGCTGGCGCGCAGGCCGCCAAAGCCGACGGGCGCCGAGCCCAAGGCCGCAGGGCCGCCGGCGCCGACGGCGGGCGACGTCGGATAGTTGCGCGCAGCCACGGGCGGAGGCGAGCCCGCCGTGCGACCCGGCGTTGCCTCCTTCGGTATCGCTTGCGTCCTGCACCGCACATCGCAAGACACACGCGACACGACACGACCAACGACACGACACGCAAGACGTTGAATCGGCCATCGATGGCGGGGCACAGAGTTGGCTGGCGGTGTACCTCCGCTTGAGCTTCTCCATGAGCTCGTTGGACTGGCCGGCGCCGCCGAAGAGCGGAACGCCCATGACGCGCGGCGATGGGGTCTCCTCGTACGCGGCCGCCCCGTCGCCGCCCTCGCCGCCCTCGTAGTACCCCTCTTGTCCGCCCTGCGTGCGCATGTACGTTCGTGCGCGTGTCATGGAGGCGTGTTGCGTGCGTGCGTGCGGTGGAATGCAGAGAATGCAACGCACCTGAGGCGCACTGGTGTGTCCGCCACCGCCGCTGTAGGGCTGGCAGAAGTTGCTGGGGAACATGCCGCGGCGCCCGTTCAACTCGCCCATCCACCACCCGCTCGGGTCCTGCGAACATTTATTTATTGTGGCATTTGTTACTATTTCATTTTATTGTTGTTTCATTCTTTTTACGTTTTAATTTTAAAAAAATAAAAGAAAAGAACGAAAACGAAAGAGAGGGGAGGGTGCCTCGGTGATGACGGTAACGACGTCGTTTTCGTGGATGGTGAGTTCTTCCGGCGATTCTGCATCGTAGGCATACAAAACCAGCATCTGCGCGAAAGGGGAGATTAGACCTCCTCTCCGCGAATCAAACACCTCCTTCACCACTCCCCAAGTCAGGTGCGTGCCTGTTGTGCCATCTTCGTGGCTACGTCCAAAAAACAAATATAAAGGAAAGGAAAATAATTGTTTGTGTAATGCCGGCGAAGACACAAATAAATTCAAATATATAAATATTCAAATATTCAAATTACACCGAGACGACTCAGTGCCTCTTCACCCAAATCCAAAGGCCGCCCAGGCCGTTGGAGCCGCGCTGCTTGAGGTCCGCGCCGACATACCGGTGGTAGAACCCTGCGTGACATTTACATCAAAAAAAAGTTACAACTACGTTCTTCTTCTGCTGACTCTTCTGTTCGCGAATTTACACACCAAACGTACCGGGTGAGCCATCGGGGTTCTTGCAGTTCTTGGTTTCATCGTCGTCCGTGCCGCGAGTCCACACGGCATTGCCCAGGACCAAAGCACCACCGTCGTCCCCTTGGCCCCAACAAGTCAGACAACTAAAAGTGTGTGCGGTGTGTGCGGCGTGTGCGGCGTGTGCGGTGTGTGCGGGTGCGGTGTGTGCGGCGTGTGCGGTGCGATGTCCCGAGAGGCGGGCGACGTACCCTGGGGGTAGAAGTGCTTGAAGGTGACCCGAACGCCGCGGTTCCAATTGAGGATGGAGAGGGCCATGGGGTTGAGGTTGTTGTAGGTGCCGCCCCACTTCCACTCGTCGAACGGGTACTTGGCCACCAGCGCGTCGTACTCATTGATCGACCCCACGCGGCGCCACTTCCTGTCCTCCTCCTTCAGCCGCAAGTCTGTTTGAGTGTGTTGTGTTCGTCAGTGTGCGTTGATGCGTGTGCGGTGTGCGAGTGCGCTCTAGGAATGGGCACCGCGTAGTAGCCTCTCGGTGGAGTCCAAGGTCTTGCCGAGGGGCAGCTTCAGTTTGGCTCCGCCCTCCAACACGACCACACACTCCCCCTACACAGTCTCGTGTGTGAGTCAGCACGCACAGAAATAGATACACGGAATGTTATAATACTAATATATATATATATATATATCGAATTAAATTATATAATAAACATACGAAATTGAGCACCTTGGAGAAGGAGGTGGTGAACTTCTTGGTCTCGAGTTGGGCGAACACGGTGGCGGGGTTGAAGGTGGAGTCGTCCCAGGAATTGGCGTAGAGGTCGCCACTCGGGTCTCGGGTCACCTCGAGCTCCAAGGAGGCGGCGTTGTCGTGCAGTACTGCCCTGTAGTCCGCATCCCCCACCTTCGTGGTGGCCGTTTTCTTGGCACTCGCTTGTTCCATTTGCAAATCTGAATGAAGAAGGCCAAGATTAAGATTTCATGTTGTTCAATTTAAAAGGTACGACTGCGGCAGTACTTGAAGTTGGTCTTTGCTAGGCCTAGTGGTGGAGAGTCAACTAGGTTCGTGTTAGCCGCTTGTTTTTATTTCTCGCTGGTACCAGTTGTTTCGGCCGAAATCTTAATAATTTAAATGTCGACACAAGATGATCAACTTTTGGGCGCAACACGAGGCGAAGGAGACGAAGGCGATGGCACGCCGTCTGAGGAGGAGCCCATCACGGCGCCGCCCGACGTGGACGAGGCCAGGCTCGTGGGCAGCGACGGCATGGACGAGGTCGACGACGATCGGTTCTCGCGCGGGAGGTACTTCTCCAGGACCTCCTTGAGCACGTCGAACTTGACCGGCTTGGTGACGACGTCCTGCATGCCCGACTGGAGCGCCTTGTGCCGGAACTCGGGCGAGGCGTCGGCGGTCATGGCGACGATGGTGCACGGCCGCTCCGACGAGGTGCCGCCCTCGCGCTCGGCCTTGCGGATCTCCTGAGTGGCCGTGATGCCGTCCATCCCCGGCAGCCGCATGTCCATCAGCACCAGCAGGTAGTCGTTGTTACACACCGCGTGCACCGCCTGCGTGCGTCACACAGAACACGACACAACATGGCACACGTTAAGAAAAGAAAAGAAAGGAGAAAGAAAGTGAAGGTGGGGATGAAGAGGGCGAGGGAGAGGAGATGAGCACCTGTAAGCCGTTTTCGGCGATGTCGCAGCGGTGACCTAATCGGGTGAGCATGCGCACGGCCACCTTTTGGTTGGTGATGTTGTCCTCCACCAACAGGATCCTCGCTCCGATTGATAGTCGGCGATTACCCTGTTGTTGTAGTAGTCGTTGTTGCAAATGATGAGCTATCCGCGTGCCGTGTGTGTAAGAGTGTGGTTGTACCTCGGCCATGAGGAAGGAGGCCCCGTCGATTTCGCGGAGGGAGTGATCGGGCGAGAGCGTCTCGGTCTGGGACTGGATGCTGTGAAGAATGCGCGCCACCGATATGGGACCCTCGCATTCACGCTTCCGCTTGCTGCCGTCGCTGTCGCTCCGAGGCGTGGCCGACGCCTGGCCCCCGCTGCCGTCGTCGCTGTACAGATCGACGCCGTCTTCGTCCACGCCGCCACCGCAATCGGCTCGTCGGCCGAGGGCGAGCGACCTCTCGAGGCCCGGGCTCGGGGTCACCACCTCCGCAGATGCGTCCAGCTCGCCGCTCCCGCCGCCCTGCTCCTGGGCCTCCTCCTCGCTCATTCGCCGGTGGCCGAGCGTGGGCGTCGATGGCTCGCTCTTGACGCGCGGCGCGGCGGCCGACGTGTCGGCCGTGTCGGCGCCGGCGGAGTTGGAGCTGTAGTGGGTGCCGGTCGTGGTGGTGCGCTTGAGCTTTGATGTGCCGCCGTTGAGACGCTGCTCCTTGGCCCGCTCCTTGAAGGCCACCAGACAGTCGAGCAGCGGGATGCGCTTGACGGGCTTGGCCAGCGACGAGAAGTTGGAGGCGTTGATGCGTAGCACCCCGCGCTCGGTGATGCGCGTCATCAGTACGAAGTAGCGATCGCGGTGGTTGGCCATCATGGCCTCCATCTCCTTCGGCTCCTTGGCCAGGCGCAGCGAGTCAATGAAGATCACATCGTGGCCGCCCGAGTTGGCAGCGGCGGCGGCTGAGGTCGGCGGCGACCCGACAACGTTGGCGCCACCACCCGCGGCGGCCGCGGGCGGCTCCCCCTTGGTGGCGGCCTCAGCGTTGAGGAGCCGCAGGGCCTCGCGGCACGAAGAGACGGTCCTCACGCTGCACTCGAGGCTGAGGAGCACCTCCTTGACCGAGGCGGCGCACATCGGGTTGCTCTCGACGACGAGGCATCGCGTGCCGCGCACCTGACGGATCATGTCGCGCGTGACGATGGTGCGCGACGACGCCGGGCGCATGGCCTGGCGCTTGAACTTGGCGGTGAAGATGAACGACGAGCCCTTGCCCTCCTCGCTCTGGATGTGGATTCCGCCCTCGAACAGCTCCACCAGCTGCTTCGAGATGGCCAGGCCCAGACCACTGCCGCCTGTTGGGTGTATTGTGTCGTGTCAGGTCTTATAATAAATAATCTCGACCAACCGAGCTGGATGTAATGATAGATGTAAATAAATACCGTATTTGCGGAAGGTGGACTGATTGGCCTGGGTCCATGGTTCGAAGAGCTGGTGGACCATTTTCTCGCTGATGCCGATGCCGGTGTCGCGCACCTCGAAGCGCAGCACTGCGTGCGACTCGGTGCTCGAGATAAGTCCCGCGTGAATGGCCACCTGGCCCTTCTCCGTGAACTTGACGCCGTTGCTGACTGAGGTTGGGTTGGAGGGCAGACATTGTGAACAACAACAAGAAGCCGAAGAAGAAGAGGGACGTGAGTACCTAGGTTGATGAGGACCTGGCGCAGGCGCGTCGAGTCGCCAACGAGCCGCGTGGGGAGGTCGTGCGGAATGTAGGTGATGAGCTCGAGCGCCTTGGAGTGCGCGCGGAAGCTCATCATCTCGCCCACCTCCTCCACCACCGCCCGCAGGTCGAACTCGATGTCCTCCAGCACGATCTTCCCCGATTCTAGTATGCGCACGCCAGACAAGGGTAGTGCAAGCACGCCAGACAGACGTCAGCAAAAAATGAACAAAATGAAAATCGGAGAAATTTGACGTTAATAGGGAGCCGGAGATGCCGAAGAGGCCTAGAACAGGAAAAGGCACGGCGGTAACGAGAAGGTGGCGCTCTCTCGCAAGAAAATGGTCCGAGGCAGATTGAGGGGAGCGAGCGTACCAATCTTGGAGAAGTCCAGGATGTCATTTACGAGGTCGAGCAGGGCCTCGCCCGAGCTTTCGACCGTCTCCACGTACTCTTTCTGCTCTTGGGTAAGGGCCGTGTTCTTGAGGACCCCGATCATGCCTATCACGCCGTTCAGCGGTGTGCGCTACATTGTGTGCGCGTGTGTCGTGTGGTGTTGCGGTTTTTTTGATGAGTGAACGGAGGAGCATTAGGGCTGCGGAGGCTAGTGGACATATCGGTACGTACCAGCTCGTGGCAGGTGTTGGCGAGGAAGAGGGTCTTGGCCTTGCTCTTCTCCTCGGCCATGTCCTTGGCCTGGCGCAAGCCGTCGACCTTCTTGAGCAGCCGCTCGTGCTGCAGCTTGAACTGATCGAAAGTCTCCGCTCCCTCTTGGAACCTGAGCAACCATCCATCCACACAACACCACACAACAAGCGGTAAATAAATTGAACGATGAAATTGATGAAAAGATTTGTGTAGAATCGGGGTACCGTTGGAGGCCGAGATTTTGGCGGAAATGAGTGCGTCGAGCAGCCTCGGCGTAGAGGGCGGCGAAGAAGAGGAGCAGGTTGGAGATAAGGAGGGCGCCGGTGCGCGAGAGCCAGGTGTCCCAGCCGTCGTGGCCGAGAAGCGGTGTGACGATGAGCTGCAGCCCGAGCACCACCCCGCCGACGGCGCACGAGCGGCGCCACGGAAGATGGAACGCGATGGCGCACACGAAGGGGAGAGCGCACACCAGCAGCAGCTCGTGCAGCTGCTGGTCACCGGCGGCATTGGTCGCCGCGAGATGGAGCAGCGTCAGCGCCTGCACGGCGAGCGAGTAGGCGGCCACGGCGCGGTCTGCGCGGCAGATCCACCAGGTCGGTGCCCAGGTCGCCACGGCCAGGCTGGTGCCCAGCACGACGGGCATCACCACGACGTGGAAGGCCAACGGCGTCCACCAGCTGACCTCGGTGCCGATAGAGGAAGTAGAGCGTAGAAGGATGTCGAGTAGGAGGAGAAGAGGCTGGAGGAGAACGAGGTGGAAGAGCACGAAGCAGCGAAAGGGCGTGAGCGCGGCGCGACCAGCAGCGAGCACGAATTGGGACTCGATCGCCGGCTGGCCGAATCGATGGGCATCCTCGCGTAGCATGAGGGTCACACTTTCGCACGCCTCGCCGGCGCATGCACGCCAGCCGCTAATGCAGCTGCTGGCTGGCGCGGCGCCCAAATGAATCGTCGAATGCGACGATGGCTGTCCTACGACGATGGCTCGATGCGGCAGAGGCGAAGGTGCCGTCGGAGCGCCAGTTCTTCGTGTGAGTAGAGGAGAGGTGGCTGAGGAGGAAGAAGAAGAGGTGGAAGATGTCGCAGATGTCGTAGAGGCAGAAGAATGTTGGCCAATCCAGCTGCCACCGCCTTCTGCCCGTTGTTGGCGTTCGGTGGGAAGCATGCTCGCGGCCTCTTCCTCCTTTACGAACCCTCGCAACCCTTCCGCGTGAGTGGGTCGCGCTGGATCTGGTTCCAATCTCGGGCAATCGGTTCCGTGCAGTCTAATGGAGCCTCTGCTCGAATTCACGAGAGAATTGAAGCTTCGTTCGCTTGGGGAGGCAGATGGAAGACGTGAGCTGACAGATTCGGCGTAGCGCCAAGATCTGAGACAGAATGAAAAAAAGATGATCGAGAAGAGAAGAAGAGGCGAATGGAGGAAAGCGATGCGGGATCTCGTAGCGTCGAGGAGGGACCGCCACCTTTTCGAATCTCAACCGATGCAGGCCGGCCTGCGTTGGGTTCCGCTTCTTGCCGCCTTTGGTCTGCCAGATGCACGGCATTCTTTCTCGTAACCTAGCTGACCAGATGGCGTCGTTACTATGGAAACGCGCTCAAATCACCAATTTCAGGAATGCCCGCGGCCCACGTGGTCCGTTAGCATATTATTATTCGAATTAATCTCGAAAAAATAACAACATTCTGCGAGAGAAATTTGAGCCTTTGCGCGAGTGTAAAAAATAGACTTCAGCGCGTGGCACAACACCGAACCCGGACTGTCGGAATCTCATAAAAATGTAGCCAGAAAAAGATATAATAATATATATTTTTTCTTCCCTCGTTATTTATTACTCTTTCGCAACTTCGAAGAGGGCAGGGTCGAGAAGGAGGCCGACGGGGCAGTGGTCGGAGCCCAGCACAAAGTTGCGGATGAAGGCCTTGCGCACGTATGGCGTCAGCGCCCTCTGGTACAGGAAGTAGTCCAGCCGCCACCCCATGTTCCTCGCCCGTGCCGCTACATAATCATTCATCATTCATCAGACACCATCGGCATCGGCATCGCCATCGCCATCGGCATTGATCATTCAAGGAAGGGCCAGGAAAGAAAGAAGAGTCTGATGACGAACCGGAGCGGTAGGACCAGAACGAGTAGCTCTGGCGGGTCGGGTTCTCGTGCCGGTAGCTGTCCACGAAGTCCATCGTCTTGATCACGCGCGTGAAGTCGTCTCTGTGCAGTTGAAAATAGATGCATGTGAGCGCGTGCAACGACGCACAGCACACGGCTCACCTTGTGTGTAACACACGACACGCACGACACGCACGACGCATATGACATGAGGTGCACACGGCACACGGCACAGTGAAATCGGCGCGCTGCTGCTGCGACGCACCGTTCTTCGTCGGTGAAGCCTGAGGTGTAGTGATTGTTGGCCGGGTCGTGGAGATCGATCTCCTCGTGCGCCACGTTGAGGTCGCCGCACCAGATGACCGGCTTGCCCTTCCGCTCGCTCTCGTCCAGCACCCGATATTCGAGCTCTGTTTTGTGTGCGTGCGGCGTGTGACGTGGTGCGTGTGCTGTGGCGTGTGCGTGTGTGGCGTGTGGCGTGTGGCGTGGGTGTGTGGTGTGTGCGGTGGTGCGTGTGTACCGTGGCCGTGCGGGTGGACGTCGAGGCCGGCCTTGAGTCCGGAGGTGGAGAGGGAGAGGAGGTAGGCCTCCATGTCGCGGTTCCAGCGTTGCCGGTACTCGAGCCGCTTGAGCTCATCCCCCGAGTTGGGGATGTACGAACCCACCAGGTAGAACCCCGCAAACTCCAACGTGATCACTCGCCCTTCACGCAGGCGTTCCGTGCGTTCCGTGCGTGTCGTGCGTGTCGTGCGGTATTGAGATCAACATGCAATAGAGAATGGTAGGTGTGTGTGTGTGTTGGTACCTTCGTTGTCGTGCTCCTCTACGCCGATGCCGTGGTGGACGCGGAGGGGTCGGTATTTGGAGTACATGGCCACTCCCGAGTAGCCCTGAACAACCACCCACCCACGGATCCACCATGAATGCGGGCCACTGTTCTCTTGTGTTATGCTGTGTGCGTCGCACGCCGTACCTTGATCGCGGTCGAGCAGTTGTGGAATTCGTACTGGTAGATGTCGGGCCTGTGAAAGGTCTTCCCCTTGACTGCACCGCACACCGGCTCTCCGGCGATTCAGTCAGTACACACAAGCCGCCGCCAAACTCAACTCAGTCAAAGAAAGAAGAATGAAAGAAAGCGAAAGCGGTACAGAGCTCAATCTTGGAATTGGTCAGCTTGGTCTCCTGGAGGCACAGCACGTCGGGCTCCTCCTCCCTGCAATACGCGCGGGACTATGTCAGGGCCTCGAAAGAGCGAAAAGCGAAAACGAAGAAGAGAAGAGCGAAGACGGAGACGGAGGGGGGTAGGTGGTGTATACTTGATGTAGTGTTGGAGGGAGCCTTTCTCGACGATCGCGTTGAGCGAGAACACGTTCCACGAGATCAGCTTCACGTACTTGTGCTGGTCGGCCAGCACCGGACGCAGCGGCCACCGCGAAATCACTGGATTGGCCGGCTTCTTCTTGCTCTTGATGGTGGTCGTCGTTGTCGTTGTCGCCGCCGTCATCGCCGCCTTCGTTCTGGTGGTCGTGGTCGTGGTCGTAGTGGTGGTGTCGACCGCTACCAGCTCTGCGCCGTCGGCCTCCCCGACCGCTCCGCTGGCCTTTCGGGTTCGCGGCTTCCTCTGCTTCTTGGCCGGTGTCTCTTCGCCAGGCGTGACTGAGTGGGACACACGCGACACGACACACAACACGACACGACACGACACGAACGGAAAAGCAACACCACGACACACCACGCGCACAGAATAAGCGTGTGTAGAGTGTAAAGTGAAGTGGGGTTTAAAAAACAAGTAATTTATTTGTAGTGCCCGTTCCCTTCTCGTACAGACCACATACAATGAAGGGAGGGACGCCGGTTTCGCAGCCCACTCGAGGTTATGTACCATCATCATCCTCTTCTGTTTGTGGTGTGGTGGTGTGGTGGTGTGAAATATTCGAAATAGGAAGATGGATGAGAGGAGTGGACACAACTGGTACTTCTACCCACTACACAACAAAAGTGTTTTGCTCTGTGAAGGTAAAGAGCACACAAAGCCAATTTGGTGGTGTAGCAAGCTGTGGCCATGAGGCAGCAGAGAAAATGTATCCGTTCATCGCCACCATCGGCCTATTCTCTCCAACACTCTGAGGGTATGTGTAGTGTGATGGGGGTTGGCATTACCTGTGGCATAGAGCCGGGCTGAAGAAACAAGTCCTACACAGGCCCCACGCGCCTGTAGTGCCGACACCACTGCCCTGTTGATCGTAAAAGTTAATTATTTTTTAAAATCTATCTTAAAATAGAAATAGAAATCTACGACAAAAAGCTAATTTAATCTTGGGACGAATTTGTGGGGGCGTACAGCTGGGAGAGGGGCGAGTAGCCTGTTCGGACGGGAGTGGGCTTGTTGATCCCAAAACTGCGCTTGGACGATGTGGAGGCGCCGGGGCAGGCAGAGGCTGATTTCGAAGAAGAAATGAAGGCTGACCCTCGCGGGAGCGAAAATGAAGCCGCCGATGTTGATGCGGGCGTGAGAACGGAGCGAACCGCACCCGCCCGACGCGCCGCTGAACTCGTTGTTGTTCGTGCAGTCCGCCACATCTCGCTACTTGCTTGATCGAATTTATCAATTTCGCATTTGAATTTCTCGTGTTTTCTTTTTCGGTTTCCCAAACTTTTCCCGTAGGGTATTATTTCCTTTTCAGGAACCAAGGCCTGTAACATCAACAAGAAGATGGGAGCGGGAGAGAGTGCGCCGGTACAGCTGGAGTTGAAGGAGGGGACCCAGCTGGACCCAGTCCTGGCGGGGCACATCGTGGCGTGCTTCAAGGAGAACAACGAAAAGGGCAAGCCACTCACGCCCAAGCGGTTTGCGGACGTCATGGAACAGGTGAGCATCTTGTACGGCAGCGAAGTGGCCACCAACGACTATGAATACCTCTACAACTTGTTCGACCTGAACCACGACGGCAAGGGTACCGCCAGCGAATCACTTCCAAAAAGATGTTGCTCTCTGCGCTCACAAAGCTCATCTGCTACACAGTGGGGCTGGAGGAGCTGTTGTCGGGCTTTGCCGTGTTGTCTTCAGGCACACTGGAGGAGAAGGCCCAGTGTGCGCCCTCCTTATTGTTGTAGTTGCTGTTGTTAGGCCTGCTTCTTCTAATCATGTGATTGCGATTTAGTGACTTTCCACGCCATCGATCTCGACAACAACGGTCGCCTCTCCAAAGGTAGACTGTATACATTCCACTGGCCTCGGTTTGTATCTTGTTCACCAGTGCTGGCTTGTTTCGTTTACGCGCTCAGCCGAGGTCAAAGCCCACTTCGCGAAGCTGGTGGAGTTCCTCACCGAGGTGGAGCAGCACCGCCTCCTGCAGCAGCGCGCCGTATTTGCCCCCGGCAAAGCGCCCACCCAAGCGGCCCTCGCAAGCCTCACCGTACATGCGCCGCCCTACAGCTCCATTCCGTGGCACACCACGGCGTGGTCCATCGACTAACGTTGGCTTGGGGGCGCGCGAGTAGAAGCAGCTGCAGGAAACGTCGGTCAACGCAGTCTTCAGTGCCGACGTCGATGGCGATGGCCAAATCTCGATGGTGCCGTGCCTCGTACTGTTGGCCCTGTTGGTTGGTGGTCACCTGGAAGTGCTCACGTTCCACCCGGCTGCAGGAGGAGTGGGTGGCGGCGGTGAAGAGCAACGAGGAGGTCCAGCGCTTCGTCGTTCCCGAGCTCTTCCTGCGGGCCTTCATGTCCGAAGTGCGCCAAGCCTACACCCCGCTGTAAACGAGTGCAGAGAAGAGAGACAAGAACGAGAAAGGGCGCTGGTCGATTCAATCAATGTAAGCGAGAGGTTTTATTGTGATGTGGTAACGGCAAAGGTCTCATATTTACAAGGCCGCCTCGCCTATCTACATATATGTACAGCATATGTATGTATCTGAGGTGTTATATAGGTATGGAAACGTGTGGTGTAGTGGGTGGCACTCTACGACGGGTGGAGAGGAGAGGTGAGAGGGTACGGGCGACACACATCCAGACATGTTGATGCTGAAGGGCGAGCGGGGTGTGGATGGCGGGAGGCGTAGGTGTGGATGGCGGTGGTAGTGCCTTTTACATGCGCATTTTCTTGCCGCCCTGTTCGTCGTTCAGCGGCATGAAGAAGGGCACCTGCTGCTGCGGAGGCCTGGCCTCGGTGTCCCTCTCGACGTAGTATTCCTTGAGGGTCTCCTTCATCGATTGCTCAAAAATGTCGAAGCCCAGCTCGAGTTCCTCCTGGCTCACGTTCAGCGCCGGAATGAAGCGCACGGTCTCGTGAATGCCTGATGCACGGCGAGACAGAAGGGTGAGCCGTTCGTGTTGTTCGTGTTATACTACACACGCACGAGGAGCGCGCCAATCATACCGGTGTTCAGCAACAGCATGCCGTTCTCGACGCACTTCTTGGTGAGGGCGCCGGTGAAGCCCTTCTTGACGGCGTAGCGTGGGTCGTGGTTGGGGAAGGGACGCACGTCGTCGGCCTGCGTGTAGAACTCGGCGGCGACCATGAGGCCCGGCCCCCTGATGTCGGCGATCTGCGGGTAGCGCTCCCTGAGCTGGTGGAGCAGCGAACGGAGCTGCTCGCCGCGCACCTGGGCCTTCTCCACCAAGCCCTCCTCCTTGATCACCTGGAGCGTCGCCGTCGCCGCAGCACAGGCGACTGCATTGGCGCCCATGGTACCGCCATGCGAGCCTACATAACACACACAGCCGGCGTCAGTCAAAACGGTGGCGGAGGAAGAAAACCGAAGGAGTACTTACCAGGCACCCACTTGCTCTGGATCTCGGGGGAGGCGGCGATGCCGCTGAGGGGGAAGCCGGAGGAGAGGGCCTTGGCGAAGCAGAGGATGTCGGGCTTGATGTCAAAGTGCTCAAGGCCAAACCACTTGCCGGTCCTGCCGAAGCCGGTCTGAACTTCGTCCAGGATCATAAGGATGCCGTGCTTGTCGCAGATCTCGCGAACACCCTTCATGAAGGACCTGGGCGGCATCACATAACCACCCTCACCCAAGACGGGTTCCTACACGACACGCAAGAGATGGTGTGAGCCATGGTGGTGTCGAGGAAGCGCCGCGTCCTCAAGGAGAGAGAGAGAAAAGTTATTGTATTGAGGAAGTAAGCGTTAGTAGATCGATCCCCCACCTACCCCAGCAGGGAGGGGCGGAAAAAGCAAATTAAAATAACATGCGAATACCTCCATCCCACCGGGCGCCACCCCTGGGTAGAGCGTATTGCGTTGTGTGTATGTGTATGTTGGTGTTGTGGAGGAGAGAAACAGAGAGGATAGAGGTAGGAACAGAGCTTCTCACTCACCGACAAGCAGTGGTTAATGATGCATTGCACTCGGGTACAAGCGATCAAAGAAGATAAGACACACACACACACACACACAAATCATATATGGATATACTGAGAACACAACCATAGAACCGGAGCCTAACACAAGCACGGTGTTGATGGTGATAGTGATGGTGCAGTGTAATTTGCTACAGCCACGACTCGCGACACATAACAGGCGGGAAGAAAAAGAGTCAAAGCTACAAGGTGCCAGCAGCCCTTCAGCCCATCGTGTTTGTGTGTGGTGCGGAGCAGGGAAGGAGGGGCTTACCAGGAGAATGGCCGCCGTCTCGGAGGGAGCTGATTGAGTGGCGAGGATGTTCTCGATCTGGTTGAGCGGCTCGTTGCAGCAAGCAGACTGGCCGCAGGTCTGGGCGCGCTGGGTGCTGTTGAGTTTACTACCACCACCGTTGACCTGGCCATTGGCGTTGTGACCACCACTGATTTGGCCGTTGGTCGGCGAGAAGCTGCCCGAAAGGGGACCCTTCATGCTCTTCGTCGGGCACCTTTGCAGGGAAGGAGCGTGTGAGTTCAACTCTGCGTTAGCGTGTGTAGCGAAAGCGGCCGAGGCGTTTTCGAATTACCTGTAGCAGTGCGCGTAGGGCGCGACATGAACGCCGGCCATGAGAGGAGCGTATCCAGCCCTGTAGCCGTTCTTGCTGTTGGTGACCGACATGGCGCCGATAGTGCGTCCGTGGAAACTGCCTTGGAAGCTCTGTAGTGAAGCGAGAACAACATGTGTGAGGTGGTGTCGCATCGAGCTCCAGTGCGAGTAGAAACGTACGATGATGTTGGGCTTTCCGGTAGCGTGGCGGGCAAGCTTGAGTGCGGCTTCGACCGACTCAGCGCCACTGGTGTGTAAAGAGAGAACTATGTTTTTTGCACCGTCCTTGGCCACACAAACTCACGACAACGCGCCACGAACGACATCACCACGAACACGCGCCAGGCGGTCTTTTGAGCCTACCTGTTGCTGAAGAAGAACTGGTCGAGACCCTTCGGTACCACGGTCTTGAGCTCTTCGGCGAGTTGAAGTACGGGCTCGTGGTAGGCGATGCCCATTTGGACGTGCATCAACTTGCCGACCTGGAGAGATTATCGATAGTCGTTGAAGATGAGACGAAATACTGTGCAGATGTACTGCGAGATCTCGACTATGTAGTACCTGGTCCTGGGCTGCCTTGACGACCTTGGGGTGGCAATGGCCGGTGTTGGTAACGCCAATGCCGCTGGTGAAGTCCAACAGCTTGCGACCTGCAACAAAAGATGAGCACGGGGCGATCGCTCGTGCACGACAACGAAACGAAATGGCCGAAAAGGAAATCGAGGACTAAAAAGGTACAAAATGTAGCGAGGTCGTACCGCACGAGGTGTAGACGAAACTGCCCTGGCCCCTCTCGATGACGACGTCGGAGAGGCGACTCCAAACGGGGGAGAGGATGGCCTTCGAATTCTGAAGCTTAGCTGCCCTGTTCATGACGTTGCTCGATTACTGTCGTTGTTGATTTCTCGTTCAGGTGTCTGGATTTGAACGGACGCTTTTGCAAAGATGTGCTTGTTTGAGGTTCGGAAGGTCAGACTCTGCTGGTATCACGAACTTCGATGAGAAAAAACCAACAAAAGATGCAAAAGATGAAGGATAGCTGCAACGGTTGCCCCGAGTAGCTGCAACGAAGACAAAGTCGCTGTACCTGTCTGGTATGCGAACGTTGGTAGGGCCGCGGGTTGCTTGTTGAGGCTCAAAGTCTCGCCTGTCTGGAGGCTTGTTGTAGATGGCTTGGTGGGTGGCCTGCGGTTGGTAGGAGGTGAGGCGCGCGATGAGAAGAAGAGGCGGCAGAAGCCGCAAACGCCTCTTTTGAGCCTGGGCGCCGAAGCAGGCGCCAATCGCACCTGGCGTCGACACGAAAAAGCACCACTTTTTTGGCAGGTCCGCCGCGCTCCTACGAGATTTCGCCAGAACCGCCAGTTCGTCCCACGACGGCGGACTAAATCCGGCCTTTTTACCGGATACTGTCCACCAGCCCAACCGGCGCTCGTCATCACTCGCAATGGGGCGTCGGTTGCTTTGTGCTGTTGCCCCGTTCCGTCTCTGTTCCGTCTCGACTTCACGGAAAGTGAGCGAAACGGACGTTGTCGACCATGTCACGTTCGGCAGAAAACGTGGCGGTGATCCCTGTTAATCGGTCTCTCTGGCTCATGTATGTGGGTTCCCTCGGTTTGTCGAAGGCGGCGGTGAGGTTGGTGGAGAGGCCACTGGTGACAGTGGATGATGAACATACCTAACGGGTTGCACCTGGTGTTGTAGTTTGTTGTTGTGTGAACTCTGTTTGTTTGTGCGGTTTGACTCTGTGGTTGACTGCGGTTTGCAGCGCTACTCGGCTGAAAGCAGTTCGGCGTTGGACACGGCGTTGTGGGGCTGCTCCTTGAACAGCATGAAGTGGCCCTGGAGCTGCGCCATGCTCACCGGCTTGCCCGCCGCCTCCACTCGCGCCACAAACTCGTCGGCCGACCGCTCCTGCGTCGGTCAAGCCAAAGAAAGGGGAAGAGAGGGACAAAACAAATCGAGTCAAACGTGTCGTCGAGTCAGAGACCGCGCATAGCCTCGAGGTGGTGTCTGTCGAAACTAGATCACGTACATGGTCGGGGTAGAAGCGAAGGAACATGCGTCGGACCTGATCGGCGCTCGCGTTGCCCATCTCGAGCTTGACATCCACGCGCCCCGGTCCTGCATAGGCCAGCAAAAAAGGGGGTCAGAGGTGCAGCGCGCAGCCCAGGAACCGCAGGGAGGAGAGAGCCTCGTACGGATGAGGGCCGGGTCTAATCGGTCGATGTGGTTGGTGGTCATGAAGAGGAGTCGCTCTTCCGACGACGCCACACCGTCCAGCACGTTGAGGAGACCGCTAAAGGTGACGCAGCTTTGGTATTCTCTCGTGGGTTGCTCTCTGTTCCAAGAAAAGAGGGGTCAGAGGGCGTCTTCTTCCTCTTGTGCGCTGTTCGGCCTGTGGCGTGGTGATGGTGGTGCAAAGAAACGCACCGTCGAATGGCCGCGGCGTCGACGTCCTCGAGCACCGTGATGCTTCGTGTGGGCACGATGCTCATCATGTAGGCCAGCTTGTCGTCTGCTCGAACAAACACGGTGGCAATGTTAGAGCGAGTGTTCAGTAAAGCGAAGTTCCCAGTTGCAGGTACCTGTCATGCCTCTTTCGCTGAGGTTGAGCATGCATATGTTGTACTGCAGCTCACCGGCCAACGCCGTGATGAAGCTCGATTTGCTGCGTTGGTGGAGGTGGTGAGAGTTGGCTCCAGTTGAGATTCATTCAGCCTTCAGGAGTCACCAGCGCGGTCAGGTCGGGCGTACCCTGATCCCGGCGGTCCGTAGAGAAGATAGCCTCGGCGGTAAGGAATGCCTGGAATGGCAGAATCATCAGATCGACTGAACGACAACAACAACAAAGCGACACGAAGAAGTGAGAAGAGCTAACCTCGATCTCGGTACCAGCTTTGGTTGGCGAGGAACTCCTTGACGTCGCCTGCGAGACGCTCGGCCTGGTCGCCGTCGAGGATGACCGACGAGAGCGGCCGCCGGGCGCGCGGCTGGCCGAACTCCTTCCACTCGAAGCCGTTGGCCGTGTAGATGAGGGTCTTGCCCTCCTCCTTGGCCAGCGCCATGTCGCGGGCCTCCTGGAGAATATCGAGGAAGAGCTCTCGGTTGCGTCCGTACGTGGTGAACGTCACAGTCTCCCACGGCGTGCCGCTCGTCAAGTCGACCATGGCCTTTTCGCGCGCTCGCTCCACCACCATCCAATAACCCTGCACACCACATTCACATTTCCTTCAGTTTTTCCCATTTAATCAATCTAAATGGAAATGTAGATTACACAAATCCTTGAATGGTGCAGGGTACCTTGTGCTTGATAAAGTGGCGTCCAGTCGAGGGGATGAGATTGTAGGAGGTCTTGATGCGACCGGTCGGATCTTTCTGGTAGAATGTTTCCACACTCAGGTGCTGCGTCTGCCGCGCGGCCCTTGCCGTGATCCAGTTGAGCACCCACGAGTAGGAGGGGTCCTTGGAGGGGATCTCCATCTTGACCATAAAATTGCGTTGGAAGTAGGCCGCTCCGTACTTCCATCCGCCGCGCAGCAGCGTTGCCCCGCCTCCGAGCACGAACAGACCGGCTCCCGCGCTGAAGTAGGGATTCGTCGTGTCCAGAAGGCCGCCCAACGGTGATGGTGGTCCGCCGTTCATCTTTGTCGCACGTACTTAGAAATCAGCGTTCTGAAGTTGGCCTGCCGCGCAAAAAAAAGGCCTTTTGTTTTCTCAGCTCACACGACGCATGACTCTGACACACACGCACACGCACACGCACACGCCGAGGAAAGGTGCTGGTGGAACGGTGTTGTATAAACTGAGAGGCTGCAGCCTTGTCACTCGGCAACGTCTGGAGCGACATTGGTTCACTCGGCCATGCTCGACGCGGGAGCAGAGACAGCGCCGGGAGACTTGATGAGGCCTCGAATGCTGAGATCGTAGGTCACCTCTTCGATTTTCTTCAGGTCGTACTTGATCGAATCGTACCTGATTACGTGTCGTCCACAAAGTGCGAGGCAAACGTGTTATCAGCATGGTGTGTATGTGTGTATGTGTGTGTGTGTGCGTGCGTGTGTGTGCGTGGTGCGCGTGCGTGCGGAACAGAGGAAAAGGGACAACGCACTTCTTCCTGAGGAAGTCGTTCTTGAGGTTGAGCAGCTGGAAGCCTGCGTAGAGCTCGTTCACGAAATTGCCTATCCTAGAGACCATCTCGTAGTCGCCGGCCGTCGCTCTGTTGACACACAAGCGCGACTGTGTGCGGTGATCGAAACCACATGCCACACACACACAGTGAGCTCATTACAAAACCGACGACGAAACATGATGTTGTGTGTTACCAGTTCGTTGGGAATCATCGCCAGACCGTACAGGAAGTCGGGAATGTCGATGGCGAACGACGACTGCGCTCCCTCTGCCTCAACCTCGCCCGGCACTGCAGCGAAGTGAAGAGGGGTCCTTGGCGTCAGCGGTTGCAACGAAACCGATCGAAGACGCGAAAGATGGAGAATTGGGCGGGGCACACGTACGGTCCAGCATCTCCTCGACCTCCCTGAGCGAGATGAGCCGGCCGTCCTCCAGGAACTGCACCAGCCCGACCAGGAACACGATCGTGGACTGGGCGTTCTTCCAGAACTCGCGATACCTGGCAAGGCAGGCCGTCGCGTAGCGAGTCGTTGTTAGACATCGCGCAGCGGCGCAAGCCCAGAAGGTGCAGATGTGCAAGCGTAGCGTACTGGTAGTAGTGTTTGTTCTTCTGGGCGACCTCCTTCAGCTCGGCAAAGTTGGCCTTCAGGCCCGGCACGAAAGCCCTTGCCCGAGCGCACACCGCGGCCACTGTTGTGCCCCACCCCAACGATTGAAGAAGATGAACAAATAAACGATGCATTGATGCAGTCTAGAGCAATATTTGGTGCCGCTTCTGGTGTGCCGAGAAGGAGGCAGTACCGTCCGTGCGCCCCGAGTGGATCTGACCGAGGATCGTCTTCATTTCGCGACATTTGCCATCGATTTCTTTGGTTACCTTGCGGATGGCGTCCTTCAGCTCGCCCTCCTTGGCCAAATTGTCGTTATAGCCTGCGAACATGTTCACCACAGCCTCCAACTTCTTGTACTCGGCATCGCCTCCTGCTCCTTCGATCTCCATCGTGTTTTGTGCAACAATAATAAAACCTTTTCTTTTGTCCTCCCTTCACGACAACATCGCAAATTCAACCAGCTCATGGAGGCTGAGCAGGCCCTTGTTCAGCTGACCAAGAGGTACCCTCCGCACATCCTTTCGGGTTGTGTAGTGCGATCGCATGATCTGCGCGATCAATTCGATTTGCGACTAATGGATGATGAGGCACAATGAGGCTGCTGGAGAGCATTGCTGCGGGGGACTGGGGCACCTACGCCGAGCTCTGCGATGCAAGTCTCACCTGCTTTGAACCAGAAGCCCAGGGTACCGCTCTCTCAACAAGTGGCAAAGATGTGCTTCAACCGCCCTGACGGGACCTACACTGACCTGCGGCGGCGGGCGTCAGGCCATCTGGTCGAAGGGATGCCCTTCCACAGATTCTACTTTGATCTGGCCCAGGGCAGGAAGGATGGCGGGGCAAGCCCAGTCAACACCACCATGTCCTCGCCCAAGGTCACCCTCCTCGGCGGCGGCTCCGTGGGTATTGTCGCCTACATCCGCCTCATCCAGGTGCGCCTTCCACCTTTCTCTCTCTCTCTCTCGTTCTTGCTCGTCTTGCATCGATGACCACTTCACTCGCTTGCGCGCATTGGTTGCTGGCTTATGTTTCGACAGAAAGTGGGCGAGGGGGGCAAGCCCATGACCCTCGCGTTCGAGGAGACGCGAGTGTGGCACAAGGTCGAAGGCACGTGGAAGCACGTACACTTCCACCGCTCGGCCCCCAACACCCACAACTGAGAGAAAAAGAACCGTGTAAAGGCTATCCTGTTTCTCGTTTATTGACTTTCGATCTCAAGCAAGTCTACTCATGTAAAACGTATTGAGGGCTCGTGGTGGAGCTTGTCACTTGCGTGTAGGCTCGTCGCTTGTTGTTCTTACTTCATCATCTTGAAGGGCTCGACGGAGACGCGGCCGAGGGAGGGCCCCCACTCGGGGAAGGAGTTCCAGTCGGCCTTGTCGGCGGCCCTGAGCATCTGGCCCATGGCGCACGGTCCGCAGCACCTGAAGCGGGGGATCACGTGAGTGAGATGAACGAAATCAATTCGAAATTCATCTCGATATCTTCAATTTGAAGCTGAGATGTCAGAAATGTGGGATTTGATGTGGGAGGCGATGAACGTACCAGACCAAGAGGAAGTCGCCCACGAGGTCCATGGTCTCGTCCTTGCCGACGCCCAGGCCGACGCGGAGGTTGCGGCGGACGAGGGGGGAGACGAAGCTGAAATGAAGTGGGACGTTGGGTGAGTTGATGAAGTAGCGATTGATTGACAAAAGTTGTAAGAAAGGGGAGCTGGTACCAGCCGCAGCACCAGGCGGGAAGGCAGTGGTTGATCAGAGCGCACTCCTGGTCAACGGTCTTGGAGTGGAACTTGGCAAGATGGCAGGGTCCACAGCACCACCAGCCCAGGCCTGAAGAAATCAAACGCACACGTGAATAAACGCTCTACCCGGTGGGTCTGGGAGGCGACGTACAGCACTCCAGGCCGTCCATGAAGTTGCAAGGATCACCGCTGGGGGAGGGGAGGAGTTGAGAAAAGGCTCAAGGTCAATCTTGATGTCTCATGGCGAAAACTAAAAGTAAGAGAGAAGTTGAGGTGGAGGGGTCAAAGCTAACCAGCAAGGACTGCAGTTGAGGCCCCAGCAGGCGCCAGCATTGCCAGACCACTCCAAGTTGAGGAACGCCATGTCGTTGTATGTTTGAGGGAGGTGAAGAAAAAGGTGGATAGTCAACAAAGTACAAACGGCCCACTAGAAGCGTTTGGAAAAGCGGCAGGGCCACTGGTGGCTGAGTGAAAAGGAAGGGGTGAGCTCATTTTTAGATAACGGTACCCAAATTTGGTCACCAGGTCGTTGGCCCACTTTTTATCACCACGGCCGCGCCTTCTCGAGTGAAGAGTTATTGTCGACAACTACATGCTTGCCCGGTTCGTCATTCTCAATTTATTTCATAAAATCCCGCCAATCTTGACTCTCTGTGAATGAATTACACTTAGGTGAAGCCCCAACCTATCCTCCGCGAAAGTGTCACCGTGGGCCTCTACTCCGTGGTCCGTTTGGTCACCTACATAGCTCTTCCCACGAGCCATTTCCATTCCTCACTCACCCCAAGCACCAAGCACACCACCCCAGCACGATGCAGCTCAACAACGCAACCATGGTGATCTCTCTTCTCGTCCTCCTGGCCGCCGTCGCCTGCTGCGCACTGCCGGCCTCCGCCGCTGCCGATGCCGCCGGTGGTGAGGCCGTCGGCCTGGTCGGCCTACCTGGAGCCGGTGGCGCACGTGTGGTCGGCCCGCATGGGCTACAACCTGCGCGGCCGCGAGCAGCAGGTCGGACTCCCCGAGGATGTGGAGGAAGAGGAGAACGCGGGCGCGCGAGTGCACTTGAGGAGGCAGCACGCCGGCGAGAACGGCGGCGGTGCGTGCAACGTCAACGCGACCAACGTGTGCAACGACCACGGCGACTGCGTCAACGGCACCTGCGTCTGCCAGGAGGGCTGGACCGGCTACACGTGCCACCACGAACGCAAATCCGTACGAAGAGTTCCTTTCCTTGTGTGCATTTATTTATTTATATTTATTTATTTATTATCTTTGTGGCCGTTGATCTAATTGATTTTACTTCCGGTACACAATATTTATTAATTATTATTTATTTTTTAATTGTTGACTCTCCACTTGCTGCACACGAGCCACTTGTTGACCGTTGCTTTTCGTGCGAGAGTAGAAGCTGACGGCGTTCCTGCTCGAGTTCTTCATCGGCGCGTTCACCGGCGCCTCTTCGTTCTACCTGGGCTACATTGGCCAGGGCGTGGGCAAGATCGTCATGTACTGGAGCGCCTGCCTTCTTCTCTGCTTCGGCAACATCGGAGCGTACGAGCCACCTTCTCTTCTTGATCACCAGCTTCCCGACTTGTTGTTCGTGCAGTGTGTGCGTGGCATGTCATGTGTCGTGGCGTGCGTCTGATCGTGTATGATGTTTTGTGCATTCACAGTGGGTTCTCGAAGGTGTGCTGTGGCACGGCGGGCATGGTCGTGACCTACGTGGTGGTCAACCTCCTCGCCAGCGCGACCCTCATAGCCGTCAGGTACACGTTTGTTAGCCGGCTATTCGTTCTCTTTCGTTTTCTCACCTTCTTGCGTGAATCTGTAACGCGCAGCATCTGGTGTCTGGTGGATTGGATCATGATCCTGACCGATGACATGAACGACTACGACGGATACTACCTCGAGGGCTTTTAGATCGAAGGAGGCTTGGAAGTCGGAGTAGTGTGGGCGGGAGACTTCTTTGCTACAATAAAGAAATAAAAAGAATAGAAAAGGAAATTGACCGATAAACGGGGATACAGCGTGTTGCTTGGCGCCTCTTCATCTTGCCGTTGTCTCGTACTCCCAGAGGTCGCGACCGAACAAGGTATTGCCATAGCTCACACATCGCCCGTAGTGTTCTCGAGTGTCGTGCCATTTTCGGCGATTTGTTCGCTTGATAGATAATCTGGTGTGATTCGAAATCATTTTGATCAGACTGATTAGGTCTTGCCAGTGCCTCTTGCCAGGCGTCATAACTCGTGTGACGCGAGATCAAGTGGTGAGCAAGGGAGCGCGCTACGCCAGTGATTTAGGAGAGCTGGAGTTCCTACTGTGGATCACGATTAAATGCGCCCAGAACATACAGGGGGGAAAGAGGAGGCGTTAGGTGTCGGCCTGGATCCAGCTGCATTACCGACATCTCCTCCTCCATCTTCCACGCGTACCTACACCAAGGATCATAGCAACCATAACAACGGCGGCGGACTGCTACAGCAAGCATTCGATGCCTACCACCGCTACGCCAGGGACGAGGACCACCTCGTCCGCGATTCGGCCCTTCAGACGGTCCTCGCCGACCACGGCGTCCCAATGCATGAGGTACTCTCTCCTCCATCTCAATTGATTTTTTTGTAGAGAGACAGAGATTGAACGTGGCGTTCGGCTGTCGCGTAGGGTGACGTCAAGCGTATACTGGATGCCGTGGACACCAAGGGACGAGGCTCTCTCAACTTTGAGCAATTCTACCAGTACGTAGCGCCTCTGCCTTCTGTTCTGTTCTGACGTGTGCGCATTACCAGCTGGAGACCGACACTCACATGATGCGATCATGAACCCACATACCGACAGTGTGTTCGTGGGCCTGAAGATATTTCACAGCTTCGACAAGCGAGATCGCGGCTCAATTCATCGCGAGGAGCTGCGCAACGCTCTCCGATCCGTCAGCCTGCATCCGGAAGAGGTACCACCTCGCGCCACACACACACAAACACGCACACACGCACACGCACGCACACACACGGCACAATCCTGATGTGACGATGGTGCAGGAGCGGCTGGACGACATGCTGGCCATGACCGAGCCGGTGCATCCCACCAAGGTGACCTTCCCCGAGTTCCTCGAAATCTTCGTCGAGGCGCAAAGGGAAGACGACCCGCACAAGGTGACGCCCTCGCTTCGATTCACGGGTTCTTCTTTTTCACGTCTCTGACACGTGCAACAAATCACACAATCACATCGCGCGCGTGCAGGTGGAGCGATATTTGAAGCATGCGCTGAGCTACTGGTACACGGGTGCCGGATTGCCACTTCCCGGCGGGATGCTGCCCATGGCCCAGCGTACGTTCTCCGCCCGCTCTCCCTCTCTCTACAATCGCCATCGCCACCACTTCTCCATCACCAGATATCGGCCCAGTTATCATCAACCACGCTTCTGGCTCTCCTCGTTTCTCGTTTCGCTCGTTTCTCTTTTTCTCTTTTTCTCTTCTGACCTTCGGCCGGACTACTCTCCCATTCGCAGAGCTCACGCCGCTGCAGGATTTCCTGGCCGGTACGCCCTCACTCGCCGCCGTCCAAATCTTTTGTATCTTTTTGTCAACTGAGTCTCGGTTTCGTTTTCGTTTTGGTTTCGTTTCGTGTTTTGGTGTAACTCATAGGAACACTTGCCGGCGTCGCCATCACACTGGTACATAAATTTATTATGTTTGTTTATTGTTTATTTATCGTAATGATTAGAAATTATGGTGTTGCGGTACCAGTCCTAAGATCACCATCGATGGTGGCGTAATCGTACGTTGGTGGGTGTGCGATGGGGGCAGGTGGGCCATCCGTTCGACACCATCAAGGTCCGGCTGCAGACTGGACAGAAGGGCCTTTTCTCGGGCGCCATCGACGCCACCATGCGCACCATTCGCAAAGAGGGGGTACGTCGCCGAGTTTAACCTCGCTGCTATGGGATGACGCACAACTGACATTCATGCGTGTCGTGTGCGTGCCGTGCGTGCCGTGCGATTGTGTCGACCAATGACAGGTGCGAGGCTTGTACAAGGGCATGGGTTCGCCCATGGCCAGCATTCCCCTGGTCAACGCCATCGTGTTCGCAGCCTACGGCCAGGCCAAGTCTTTCCTACGCGACCCTGGTACGCCTTCCTCTCTTCGTCTTCGTCTTCGTCTTCTTTCTTTTGCGATTGGCACTCGGCCGATGCTGCCCATCTGGGGCAGGGCTCACTCCGTTGACGCTGTGTTGGTCCCTCGCGCGTGCAGACGATCCCGACAAGCCGCTCAATTTGTGGCAGCTGGCGCTGGCCGGCGGTTGGGCGGGCTTCGTCAACAGCTTCATCATTTCGCCCGTCGAGTTGGTCAAAACGCGCCTCCAGATCCAATACAACGCGCCCACTTCCTTCTTTGGTACAACTCTCAGCTCTCTCTCTCTCTCTCTTTTCTTTTATGTTAGTTTCTGCCAATTATTATTTAACTATTTATCTATCTTTTTCTTTATTAAATAACATATCCAAATAATGATATTATTAACTTCATTGTGCAGGATCGCGTGGGGAGGCGCAGGAAAAGGTGCACAAGGGTCCCATCGGTGTGATCAGGCACATCGTCAAGGAGCGGGGCGTCTTCGGCCTCGCCAAGGTACTCCTACTCATTGCGCTCCTCGCGCCGATCGTTGCTCATGGGACTCACGCACGCGCACCGCGCACCGCGCACCGTACACGTGCAGGGCATGAGCGCCACCATCTACCGAGAGATGCCGGCCTACGCGGGCCAGTTCATGGTCTACGAGCTGGTCAAGCGCTGGCTCATCTCGCTCCACAACACCGACACTTACACAGGTACTGCGCACGACTTGTCGTGTGCGTGTGCGTGTGCGTGTGCGTGTGCGTGTGCGTGTGCGTGTGCGTGTGCGTGTGCGTGTGCGTGTGCGTGTGCGTGTGCGTGTTTGATTGAGGTAACTAAGCTGGGCGTGCCTCTGCAACAGCCGACGGAGACGACCTTCACCCGCTGGAGCTGCTGCTGGCGGGCGGCATGGCGGGCCTCGGGGCGTGGGTGACGTCCTACCCCATGGACTTCATCAAGACCCAGCTCCAGGCCGAACCAGAGGGCTCCTCCAAGTACCAGAAGAACCGCTTCCTCCTTGACGGCGGTACGACGCACACGACACACACGACACGACACACACACACATGACACGACGCGTGGCCTAACCTTGCGCTTGGTCGCCGACACCACAGGGTTCGTGGATTGCTTCCGCCAGCACGTGCGAGAGAACGGGTGGCGCAGCGTGTGGAAGGGCTTCGGACCGTGCGTGTCGCGCGCCTTCCCGGCCAACGCCGCGGGCTTCCTTGCCTACGAGATCGCGGCCAAGCTCATCCGCGAGCGACAGGAGGAGAAGGACGCTGCCGCTTCCACCGCCACCGCCGCCGCCGCCACTACCGCCCAATAGCATACCCTACACACTTTTATTATATACTCCTATGCACTTTTATTATATACCTCGTGTGTCGTGTCGTGTTGCGTGTCGTGTCGTGTCGTTATCTGGAGTCTACGGCGCGGTAGAGGTCGTCGGGAGCGGGGCCGACCTCGACGTCGGGCGAGCTGAGAACGCGGTCGAAGAGAGGCCGGTGGTCCCAATCGTGGATGGGCACGTGGACCAAGTGGCGCGAGAACGGATAGAACAGGCCCACCTCCCCCACCGCCATCCCTGTCGTGTCGTTTGGTCGTGTCGTTGGTCGTGTCGTGTCGTGTCGTGTTCAGCTAAGTGGGAGGAGACTGTGCCACAAGGCCATGTACGTACCCTGCTGGCGAGCGAGGGCTGCGTAGGCGAACAGTTCCGTGAGGCCCTTCTCCCAGTGCCGTCTCGGATCAGTCGTCGCCGACACGTCTGCGTGCGTGCGTGAATTGATAAGTTCATTGAGTGAAGCACAGAGTGGGAGATGTGGGCGAGCGCGTACTGAGCACGGTGTCGTCGATGACGAACTCGGCGGTGGCGGGACACAGGTCGGTGCCCAGCTGCGGGTAGAGCCAGAGGTCCTTGGCGGCGGCCTTCTCGGCCGCGATGCCCCGCTGCATCTTCTCGGGGCTCAGGTGGTTGCTGGTCTTGCCGTGCACGGCCTTCTCGTGCGTCAGCTCCTTGTCCCGCGGCAACCGCAACAGCTGCGCCTGCACCGCCGCTTCCACCTGCCAACCGCACACACCGCACACACGCCATCAACGCACGGTATTGCACTCGGCACTGGCCTCGTGTGTGTGTTTGTGTGTTTGGCGTACGTGGTGGAGGAACTCGTGCGTGTCGCGACCGCACACGGTCTCGCGGAAGGAGAGGGGTGAGAGCGGAAGCGGCTCGGCCTCGGGGTCCAGGTGGGCCATCTCGTGGAGGCGCGAGAGCTGCCACAGCGGCCACACGAAGTCCTTCCAGTGCACCTCGCGGCACTTGTACTTGGCAATGTCCTCCTCCACCGTCGCGTACTCCTTCTCTGCGACCTGCACCGTAGCGTGTTATTTTCTATTTTGTGTAGCGGCTGCTGCACAGAAGAAGATGAAGAAGAGGAAGAGGAAGATGAAACGAAAGTAAAGGAAAAGTAGTACGAGTTGAGTTTTGGAAGAGAAGGAGCAGGGACAGCACCTTGGCTTTGACGTGGGGCAGCTCGAAGGGGAGAACGGCGGGCAGGTGCACGGTGCAGTGGTGCGGGGCGTGGTCCAGCATCATCTTGCCCACGGCCGTCTGCACGAACATCGTGAAGCGGTGCTCCATGGCGTTCTCATCAACCCACCCTAACCCTGTCCTCAGAGAAGAGAGTCAAATAGGAGCACTATGTAAGTAACAAGCAAATAATAAAGAAGAAAACAAACAATAATAAATAATAACAAAACTGTTCACACAACAGCTTGACAACGAACCGGAGGGGACGTTGGGTGGGAGGTGGAGGAAGAGCGGGCGGAGGGTGGGAAGCGGAGGAAGGAGGCCGCTCTCCCAAAGCTGGCGCCCAGTGGCGATCTTCAAACGGGAGTGGAGGGGCATCACGCCCTTCCTCAAGGCGGCATTCGTGGCTCGCTGCATTGACAATGATCGACGCTTGGCCTGGTGCAATGGGTGTGTCGCGTGGGAGTGTTGTGAGAGTGCTCAGTGTGTGTGCTCCAAGCTGGGTTAGTCTGCGGAGGTGGAGCGAGCATTTATCCACGCAGAACCCACAGAAAATGCCCCGGAATGTGGTGGAGAGACACATTGTGTCCTTTCTTGGCAAGACAGATTTAATGGAACGAATCCCGCCATAACACCACAACTGGGTTTTTACCCAACACTTGTTGCAGTATTCACAACACCATGAGCCAGCTGGTCGAATGGCCCACGCCTGCCCCGGCCCAATGCGCCTATCTTCACGAGCTGGACCGTGGCGGCAGCCCAGCACAGCCACAGGTCCTGCCACTGCGCAGCCTCATGTACCAATGCGCCCGCTCCCTCGCCCAAATGCGCCTTGCTTCCGTACTGCCCCCCCCCAATTCTCCCTTTTCCAGCAATTCAATTATGTAAAATAAAGAAAAAATGAAGTCATATTTTAATTCAAATGGTTTCACGTACATTGCAGGGTGGCCTGGACCTGACGCTGCTGCCGGATGAGATGCAGCGGCTCGTGGGCAGCTTCTTCAAGTGCCAGGTGTGTTGGCAGTGGGACAACGGTCCGGCAGTCGACGACCGAGAGGGCTGGTGCAGCGGCTGTGCTTTCCGTACGTGCGACTGGAATTCATCATCATCATCATCATCATCAGCATTCCTCACATGGGCCATGCCATCTGACGGGTGAGTCACACCATGTGGGTCGTGCGTGTCTCGATCGATGGCCATGGTCAGGCCTGCTGCGGTGCCACAAGGACGGCTGCACGATCACGCGCAACCTCTGGCTCTGTCTGCGCTGCGGACACGTCGGCTGCGGCCGCCCATCGCAGTTTGAGACGGGTGTGGCACGGAAGACTTGGCTTTGCTTGGTCTTCAGTTTGGTTTGTGCGTCGCTGGTGAATGAATCAATGCCTCACCCACCCATCGGCGCGCAGGCGGCGCCGGCCATGCACTCGAGCATTTCCAGAGGCTCGGGGGAGACCACAGCATTGCCTGCAAGGGTACGTACCCTACTCCCCAGAGCCCGCCACACACGCTACAGCCAACACGCCACGACACACGACACACGACACACGACACACGACACACCTGGCCTGGTGATGACTGCGAACGACAAACGTAGTGGGCACGCTCGACGGGAAGGACCCCGCGCAAACAGACATTCACTGTTATCTGTGTTCCGATGCCGTGGGCGGCGGGCTGCTGGTGTGGCACCTGTGGCGTCTGGGCTTCCACTTCGACGCCTTTCGCAAGACGGAGATGGTACCACCTCAACCCTGGGTTGAGGCGAAGAGCTGCCATCCCAGCTGTCTGCTCGCGCCACACTAACACCATCACTTCCCCCCCCCAATGCCAACCGGCAGAACCTGAACGAGTTGGAGGAAGCGCACAACGAGGAGTTGGACACCATTACGCTCTACGATGACTCCTTGTGGTGATCACACTTTTGTGATAAACTGTTTTTTTAAACAAAACACTCTATTTATCGAGCAAACTGTTGATTGGGTGGTGCATCTTCGGCCGAAGCAGTTCAATCCGATTCGTCGGAGGAGGAAGAGGAAGCGTCGCGCTGAAAGCTCCTCTCCCTGAGTCGCCTGGCCTTGGCCCGCGCCTTCTCCAGACTTCGCTCGTCTTCGCTGTCCGTCTCGTCTTCGTCTTCGGCCTCGTCTTCGTTCTTCGTGACTTGCGTTTCATTCTTTTTCCTCCGCTTCTCCTCTTCTTCTTTTTGTGCTTCGGCCTCGGCCTCCTCCTCTTCCTTCTTCTTCGCTGCTGCTGCTGCTGCGGCGAAATCGAGCCTGCGCGGCGAAGCGGCCCTTTTCTCGCGGATGACCTCGGCCAGCTCCTCCGGCGTCAGGAACCGGCCCTTGGGCGAGCACGGCACCGTACCGCTGCTACCACCACCGCTGCCGCTTCCCCCGCTCGCCATCAGGCCCGCCGTGGCTATAGTCGCGACAGCGGCCGTCTCCGTCGACTTCGCCTCCTTGGCCTTGTCGCGGACGCTGCTGCTCTCCGGTGGCGGCGGCGAAGGCTGGTCGATGCGATGCTCGGGCGGCGGCTGGGCGCGCGGAGACTGTTGAACGGCGGCGACGGCGGCGGCGGAGACGGGTGAAGCGGCCGAATCGCTCTTTTTCGCTTCGTTCTTGTCGTCCTCCCGCTTTCGTTCTTTCTTGTCCTCCGCGGCGGGCTTCTTCTCTTTCGCTTTTTCCTTTTCCTTCTCCTTTTCCTGTTTCTCGCGCTTGGCCGCATCAAAGCGCAGCGTGAGCCGCTCCTCTTTGCTGTTGGCCGAAACTGTAGAAAACGACGCCGACCCTGACGCCGACGACGCTGACGACGATGAAGGCGACGCGGACGTGTAGGTGGAAGACGGCCGAGGCGACCTGGACCGCGGCGAGTCGCTCACGCCCTTGGCAATCGTCGCGCTCGCAGTGGCCGCCGGCGCCGGCGCGGTCTTCTTGTGCGCGCCGCTCCCTTTGTTCTTGTTCACCGCCGGCTTCTCCCCGTCGACAGAAGCTCTGTCGTCGGCGCTGCCGGCGCTGCTGGCCGTGGCGGTGCGGCCCTTGCCCAGGGTGATCTGGGCGCTGAGCTCCCACTCCTCGGGCGCCTCCTCGGGGTGCTCGGGCATGTGCGGCCCGCGGACCACCGAATCGCTCGACATGATCCGCCGCGCGGTCGTCGGCGAACACCGCCCGCCCGCGACCACGGCCGGCAGCGACGACGACACTGACGACCCTGACGCCGACCCCGGCGATGGCGCAGTCGACGGCGTTGTCGACACATCATCGTCGCCGACGACGCCAGATGTCGACATTTTGCTCGGCGGCGCGTTGGCGGCGGTCTTGCGCTTCTCCTTCTTTCCACTCCCGCGGCTGCCCGACTCGCTCGCCTTTTCGCGGGCGACGGCGGCGGCTGCGCCCTCGGGTCGGTCGCCGGTGTCGATCGCGCTGCTCTGTTTGTTGTCGACCGAGCGTGTGCGGCGGTGGAGCGTGTTGCCCTTCTTCTTGATCTCGCCCAGCATCTCCTTGAGCGTCGTCGACTTGCGCTTCTCCTTCTTCCTCGTCTTATTGCTGTCGACACCACTATGATGGTGGTGCTCGTTCGTGTCGACGATCACCGAGCCGTCCCTCGACAGCGGCCGCTCCCACTCCTCGCCCTGGTTGTCGTACACGTCGGACGACGTCGACAACAACGCAGTATCGTCATCGCTCGCATTGCTCGAATCGTTGACGGTCGTCGTCGCGGTCGCTCCGCTGCTGGTGGAATGCTGGCGCAGGTGCTGCTGGCGCCGCGCCGCGTGCTTGGCCTTGTTGACGACCATGTGCGTGACGTGCTCGCCCGACGCGTCTTCGCGCTTGCGATGGGCGTCGGCCAGGAGGCGCAGGCGCTCGACCTCCTCCTCGGCGCGCATGTAGTGGAACGAGACCCGCAGCTCTCCGGTCTTCGATCGGCCGTACTCGGGGTCCATCAGGGAACACCACCGCGGCTTGCCCTCGAGACTTCGGATCTCGGTGCCCTCGCCCTCCTCGTCTTCCTCGCTCTGTCGAAGCGGCTGCGCGTCTGCATTCCCTGCGCATTCCACGCAATATAAGCACACACAACCAATGCCATGAGCATTCCACAACATTTAAAATTGAACATGTTGAGGGAATGAAACAAAAAGCGTGGGGTGTCGGTGAGGCGCACCGCGTTCGGGTCGGAGCGTGATGACGTCAGCGATGTTGAGGGCCACGCGACCCAGCATCTCGGTCTTGATGAGGTTGTTGGCATCCCAGCACTCGATTTCGACCTGCCCCTGTAGATCGTTCACATCACTGCACACACACATACGATTCACATATATCACACGATCGTACATATATACATCATAGATCATGTGAGGAAATTACAGCACAACAAGTTGATGGGTGCACGACCATTGGGCGATGATGATGGTTGCAGCGATACCATCAGCTGATTGCCAATGAATTGGAAAAGAAGAAGAAAACTAGCATGTTATGTACGTACAAGACGAACGTGGCGTTGCTCCAGGACGGGTGGAAGGTCTTGGTCTTCTTCTTGCTCTTGTAGCTCTGCTTGCCCACGGTCACCACGCAGTAGGGATTCGGCGCCTCGTCGTCTGAGTGGTTGGATTGGTTGGTTGGTTGCACCGTAATGATCGGCCGAACGATGTGGAATGAATGGCCGCGCCATTCACATTCCAACAGATCTGGAGATTGATCCATAGAGGGAAGAGGGCGTACGGGTGGTGGGTGTGAGATGGCGGCCCTCCAGAATGCAGACCTTGAGCATGCTCGTTTTCGAGCTGTGGTTTGTTTTGGTTGTACGCGAACGAGATCAGATTTTCACGTGGCGTGCAACAACAAGGAATGATCCCGTGTGAAGCCAAAAGTTGTTGTTGGGGGGAGGCAAGCGTACAACGCGCGCTCTTTCTCGGGCGCCGCGCTCTTGTCTCGACGCGGCCGGTCCGGAGTGTCCCCTTGCTGCGGTGGGCAGGAATGGTGGTCAGGAATGGTATCAATTCCTTGAATGTATGACCAATTTCTCATTGAAAGGATTGGCTCGAACCTTTTTGTTGGTGAGGAGCTCGCGGAGGTCGCTGAAGGTGGTGAGGGTCATGTCCTTGCCCTGCTTGATGTAGTGGTCGACCTTCTTCTCCTGCCGCTGCTGGATCTGCAGGAACTCCTTCTTGATGTCGATCTCCCTCTTCTTCAGGTCCACGTAGCTGTTCATCTTCTTCACCTTGGCCAGCGCCTTCTGCAGCTGTTCGTAGTCGGAATGCTCCGGGAACGTGTTTTTGATCAACTCCTATTCATTGTGTTGCGTCGTTATACATTGTAGGTTGCATTCGTAGTGAGCTGGTGAATAGGACAGATATAGAAAAATAGAAAAATAGAAAAAGACGACAAAGAAGAAGCGAGCGACGTACGGTGAGGAGGATTTCGTAGCGGGGCAGTCGCTGAACGGGCATGATGAGGTAGGCCTTGAGGTCGAGCCCGCCCTTCGTCATTTTCTCCTAAAATAAATATAAATCAATCAATCAATCAATAAATAAATAAAAGACCAATCCGCGATCGGTTGTGGGGGAGGGTGAAGATTGGTGGTTGGTGGTGCGCACTTCCAGGAAGGCGCTGAGGGGCGACTTCTTCTTGTTGGAGTGATCGAGCAGCACGGAGGTGATGTGGTCGAACACGGCGATGTAGTTGGCGTAGGCCTTCTTCATCAGCGGGATCTGCACATACGCGCCGTCGGGTCGGTGAGCACCAGATTCTCAGTAACATACGTTCTATAGTGTTTCGAGCACTCTGTGCGATTGAACGTACATGCTCGAGGAACACCTCGGCGAACGAGTGCTTGGTTGGCCTGCGCGCAGTGCATCGATGATGTCGGAGTTAAAACAAACCACAACCAACAACCAACAACCAACAACCAACAACCAACAACCAACAACCAACAACCAACAACCAACAACCAACAACCAACAACCAACAACCAATTGATGAATGTCGAAGTCACATACCACTGGGCATACTTCTTCTGCATGGCGACGTGGAACTGTTTGTTGACACTCAGCACCTGCCCGATGATGAACGAGACGCCCATGTGTTCGTCGTCCTTCAGCACCCCGCCCTCTACGATGGGCACCAGAAACTCCTACGTGTGCGGTGGGTGCGGTGTGCGTGTGTTGGTTGGTTGGTTGTAGTGAGCAGGGCTGCTGAGCGCATCGGGAAGCCCTCAAGTGCGGAGTGGAACCATGAGGAGGACTTGGAGGGAGCGGATGTAGCTCTGCTCGGAGATCACGATCTCCTTCAACGCCGACGCGCGACGCCTCATCTTCACGATGGCTTCGTCATCGCAGCTCTTCATGCGAATCACTGCATCCGTACGCGCCCACAGGGTTAACTGAAGAAGGAGGAGAAGAAGAAAGAGGAGAACGAGGAGGGTGTGTACTGTTCTTGAGCCACTGTCGCCGACGAAGCCAGGCTCGCACGATGGCCTGCATTCGCAGCACGGCCTGGTCGTCCAACGCCTGCAGCGCGTGATAGCGCTGGACGCTCATCCTGAACACGCGCGCCTGCAATTGGCCAAAAAGTAAGTACAAATATAAATAATATAAAATAAACAATATAAATAAAATAACCAAAAGAGACTGTTGTTGCGGTCACGCACAAAGAACGAAGAAGAAAGCGAAAACGAAAGAGAGAAAGGTTTACCTGTTGTTGGTCGAGCCACTGGGCGCGTTTGTCGAGGCTGGCCTCGCGTTCGGCAATCGCCCGCTCCCGCTCGTCCAGCCGCGCGGCCCACCCCTTTAGTTCCGCCAACGTCCAATGTTTCTCATCTTCCCTCTCCCCCTCCTTGGCCTTGCTGTTGGCGGTGTTGGTGATGTTACGTGGCGACGTCGAACGTAGCGCCACGGGAGGGACGACATGGCGGGAGGAGGTCGCAGCTTCATCCTCCTCGGGCAGAACGAAGCTGGGTCCGCCTCCACCTTTCCCTCCTTTGGCCTCCATCTTCCTCTCTGCTCTGAGAGACCACTTCTTGCGCTGGAGCACCGAGAGGGTCACGTTGAGGCTACCCGCCCAACAAATTCGCCCCTCTCGCTCCACCTATTTCGCCCCTGCCTCGGAGGGCTTTGGTGGGCAGGGCGAGGCGGAAACAAGAGTCAACGCAAGCCGAACCACAATGCAAATTAATTTCGAATTGCAATTTGAAACAGCAAACAATTTGAACAGAGGCTTCTTTCTTCGGTTATCTCATCGCGCGTAGAGACAATCGATTGCGACGAGCCGCAAGCCGTGAGCTGCTCATCACAGATTCTCTCCCAAGGGCAAGATTGACTTGCGCCAAGCCCAGAGGCTAAGTGGAGGAATTAAGATCGAAATCGCACCATGGGCAATTTTCACGGCCATGCCATTCCTGGCACCTTGATGATACTCTTGGGCCTCTTCTACTTCCTCCGATCCTTGAAGGTATCCTACTGCCGTGGCCTTCGTACGCGTCAGTTCTGGATCAGCTTTGAGGCTCTCAGCTTTGCCTTCTACGGGTGCGTCTCCTTCGGTTGAAATTGTGCTACTCGAATTAAAGCGATTGGATCGAAATCGTTATCGCCTTGTCTCGGCCCTCGCTCACATACCTCCCCCATGGTGGTCATTGTAGTGGGCTGGGGGCGATCGCCGAGTTTCTCGATGCTCTCATCCCTAATGCGAATTTCTCCGAGTCGCATCTGGACCACATCCACGTCACGTCCGCCCTGTGCGTGGTGGGCATCATCGAGCTGCTGCATCTCTACAAAGTCCTCGACAGTGCGTACCTCCACTTGCGTGAAGCTCTCGGCTCTTTCCATGCTTTTACCTTAGTTGCAAAGGAACCGCCTTTTTGATCTCCAACCCCTCTCCTTCGCCCTCCAGACCCTGCTTGGGGCTTGGTGATGCCTGGCGGCCTCGTCTTCGTGGCCACTCTCTTCACGGGTACGCCTCTTTACATTCAGGCCCAGCCCAGCCCTGTTGGCAGTGCGCTACAATGTTGCGCATGCGTCTCATCTCTCATCTTTCACACATCTCTCTCTCTTCCGCAGCTCATCCTCAAGCGTATGACCTGGAGTCTTTCGCGCACGCGTTCACTGCCTTCCTGTTCTGGGTCACCGCTATCAGTCGCGCCCTCGAAATCTTCGCAGGTACAGAGAAGGAAGCCTGCAATTCGTAACGCGCTGCGCTCTGGTCTATGACTGCATGGCGCCCAGTGGCGTAACGTAAATGTCCGAGTCTCACCATCTGACACCACCCCACGCCACTACGCTAGGAATGTACCTCAACCAGACCTACTTGCGCCGGCTGCAGGTGCGCAGTGCGACGTGGCGACGGAAGGGCGGCAAGCCGTTCAGCAGGAACTACTACCTGATGGACATCCCGCGCGTGCTGTGCTGCTGCTTCTCGCCTCGCGTGCGCGACGCCAAGGAGGAAGAGGAGGAGGTGCAGCTGGGCCTCAACCCCGGCTACTTCAACCCGATCATCTACACCACGCCCTTCCCGCTCCTCTCCGCCGCGTCCATGTTTTTCAACGGCGTCTGGTGGTGGGAGATGGCCGTCGCCTTCTTCTCCAACGAGGGCAAGGACATCCCCGAGGTACTCAACTCCTTTCATCGCCATCAACTACTATCATCTCTCTTTACGTCTGCTAGCGATGGCGCTAACTGGATGAATTGGTTGGCTCTGCTCTCAGAGCGAAAAGATGAACCCGATGGCGACCCACTATGCCTACTCGCACCAGATCTTCCCGCACTTTGTGTGGGTGTCGTTCTTCCTGGTCTTCGTCACGATCGCTGCCAAGTTCATCGACCGCCGGTACTTCCTGAACGACAACCAGCACTACGAGTTCAGTGAGGAGAGCGACGAGGTCGAGCTGGCGCGCCTGGGCTCGCACCCCAGCCTCAACTCCCTCGGCGGCAACCACGACGAGTACGAGGAAGATGCCCGAGTCTAGACCCAGACAGAACGTTATTCATTCAGTGACGCTACAACCACCACCATGCACATAGAAAGCTCTCGTCCACACTGCCCGCGAACAACACTCATTTTTGAAATAACATCCGGCAAATGTGTGGAATGCGCCGACGTCGTCACCTCTCTCGCTATCGGAAATTCCGTCTAGTTCCTTCGGTTTCACTGCGCAGAGAGCATCGCTCCAAGAAAAGACGCGAGATTGGACACTACTCGGCAAAGACACGACAAAGCGAACGACACGCCTTGACACGCCTTAGAGCCGCACTCACCGCTAACCAAGTAGTACTACCGACCATTATCAAAAGTACCTCAAGCACACAGGCAACCACTGCCAGCCAGCCCGCCCCACAGCTCACCATGAATACCGCCTCCTTCTCTTCGACTTCGACTCCTTCTACTTCTACTTCTTCGGTGGCGAGCAGCGCACCGACTCTCGCGTTCGAAGGCATCAAGGCGCTCTCCAAGCGGCACCAGCAGCGCAAGAACGGCCTCTCCCTCCCGACCGGCACCGGCCTCAACAAGAAGCCAGCCCTCCCACAGACGGCCAAGAGGTCGGCGGCCAGCGCCTGCTGTCGCATGCTGTTCGGGCCGGTCGACCACGACGAGGTCCTGGGATGGCTCGCCGAGCGCCACAACGAGCGCCGACAGCAGCTCGCCGCCAAGTACGGCTTCGACATCACCCTCGCAGAAGAGGGCGTCCACCCGCTGCCATCCCTCCAGGCCGCCGCCTCCACCTCCCCGGCGTCGTCCTGCTGAGGCGGCCCCGCGACGTCGTCATGTACAGAACAAAAAACGTAATCGGGGCGGCGGCAAGACCAACGAAAACAGGAGGAGAGTGTACAGCGACCCCGGCGATAGCCGGCAGAGAGGCGCCGTTTCGGGCAACAACAACACGACTTCTCCGCCGCAAGCTGCCGCTCGGCCTGCACTCGTGTAACATAACACAAGTGTACAACCACCACAACAAATATACCCTAAAGAGAATAGTTTCTTCACCAAAAACAATAATGTAGTCCCATACTTCGCTATCTACTGGAAGGCAAAGAAGGAAGGGTGTAGCTTAAAATGGTGGCTTGGTCGTTTTTGTGGCTCAGGCGGGCCTTTCTTCGGGTGAGTGGTCTTCGCTGGGCAGTTCGAGGGCTCCCACGCCGGAGATGGGGACGCACACGAAGAAAGTCTCCCTGCGCGGATCGCTGTTGTCCTCCCCCTCGGCCCCGTCGTTCGATGATCGTCGCGGGCCGTGGTATTCGGCTTCGACGGCGGCCTTCAATGCCGCCACCCTGTCAGCGCGCACTATGCCCACCACCACCCCGCCCATACCTGCACAACGCGCACCCAACCAGCCCCACACGCCACGCTCAGCACTAGCGACTTGAACTGTTTCCATGTTTGGGCGACACACACACGACACACACGCATGAAGGGCATCATACCCGCGCCGGTGAGGGATGCGCCGAGGGCGCCATGTGCGCACAGAATCCGCTGCAGCTCGTCCATCTCGGGCACGCTGCGCACAGGCAACGACAGGCGTGAGCCCAGTGCGCGAGAAGGGACTTGGCAGTGGGGGCGGGAGGGGGGGTGTACCTGGCGTTGAAGGCGCCCGGCTGGGCGTAGAGCTGGGCCGACGGGTCGGCCGGGTCGGCCTCGAGCTTGTCCACCAGCCCCTGCAGGTAGGCGTCGCTGATCGGGTGCTCGTCCGCATACTTGGGCGAATCGCCCATGTGACCTGTGCCCACCACCGCATGAGCCGAGGCCAAGGCCGAACGATTAGGTCGGATTGGATTAGGGGGGGGGAGTGAGCACCGATGGTCATGACGCGGCCCATATCGAGCAGGGCCTGGTCGCGTTGCGACGGCGTGGAGGCAGAGGCGCACACGTGCAGCAGCCGGAAGAACTCGCGCGCACGCGCACACTCGGCGATGCCGAACAGTAGCGGACCTGCGCCCCGACATCCCAACGTGAGGCGAATCAATCTCCCCCTAACTCTGTGTGTGTGTGTGTGTGTGTGTGTGTGTGTGTGTGTGTGTGTCGGGTGGGTGGGTGGATGGGCGGCGTGCTTACCTCGGAGCTCGAGGTGCGAGGGCTTCATTTCAGGGCGCAGCTTGCACAAGTACGTCTGCTCCGCCTTCTCCGCCACCTCCTGTGTGCGTGGTGCGTCTCGGTTGGCGACGACGACGAAGCACGCACGCACGCACGCACGCACGCACGCACGAAGACTAGGAGGAGGCCGTACGCGTAGCGAGGGGAATTGGGTGACGAGTTCGTGGGTGGTGATGCGAGCGGGGATCTGGAGGAGGAGGCGGTAGATGGCGGCCGTGCCCGCCGGCTCGCCCAGCTCCTCCGGCGAGATGCGCGACAGCCGATCGATCCGCTGCACGAGCTCCTCCCCATAGCCCGCCCGCCGCATCACCTCTGCAGCAACCACCAGCCCGCCACGTCACACCGCCACCTTAAGCAACGCGTTGGGGGGGAGCGCGCGGCGGGAGATCAAGTGCACCGGTGAAGAGGCCCAGCGCGACGCTGTAGGCGAAGCGCGGAACGGCGTAGTTGGCGGCCTCCTTGCCCGACAGGTTTCGCGCCTTCAGCGAGTCCACCACCACCTGCGTCCATAGAATTGAGCACACGCACACGCACCAGCACACACACGCACGACACGCACCACAGCACACGCACACGTGTGCCCAAAAGGTGGGGGTGAGGGATGCGAGGGGGGCACTTACCACGACGTGGCCGGGAGGGAAGGGGGCGTAGGCCGGGCGGATGGCCGAGTGGTCGTTCTGGTAGAAACACGTGTGCAGGATGTGCCCCTCCCGCCCAAACAGCATCGCACCCTGCGAGTGGACCACGGTTGCCACCCACCCACCGGCTCTTGAGTGTGTGTCTGTGGTGTGTGTGTGTGCGTGTGTGTGTTGTGTGGTGAGTACCTGGTCGGCGAGTCCGGTCACTGCTCCCGCCTTACCCTCTGCAGTCCGGGCCATCTCGATGATCTGCGGCGACGAAAGCGAAGATTCGCGCACCGATGAGCGCGAAGGAAAAGAACGAAAGGAGAGGAAAGAAGAACGAAAGAGAGAAGCAGGGGGTTTCCACAAATGTGCCTGGATGGGGTCGAGGGCGACTTCGGGGTTGGCCAGTAGGCAGCCGCTCATGAAGGCCAGAACCAGCGAATGGGAGGAGCTGATGCCGGCCCCGGTGGGCACGTCGCTGGTGATAAGGCCTGAGAAGCCCCGCAGCGGCCGGCCCTGGTTGTGCTGCTCCGTGAGGCCCTCCAGCACCCCGACCAGGTACCGCGACCACCTGTGCACATTCCATTCCAAGCATTCACTTCACATTCTACATCGCTTACATTCCACATACCAACCATGGCTTGGTGGGACATACCCAGAGTCTCGCTGGAGGCGGGTGGAATCGATGACGACCTCGGGGAATGCTGGGTTGGCGTTCTTGATGACGAATGTGTGTTCCTCCTGCTTGCACACGATCGCGATCAGCACGCAACACGCACGACGCACGACACACGACACACACGAGGGGCAGTGGAATGTGGTACGGGAGTGCCGGCGCGGTGGGGGTGGAAGAGGAGGAGCGTCTCCATGGGGATGGCGAGGGCGTTGCACCCGCCTCCGTGCGAGTCGATGTGCATGCCCCGCAGGTTCACCCGCGCCGGACATCGCACTAGCGCACCGCCCAGCGCGTGTGTGGCCGACGACGAACCGCTCTTGAGAGTTAAACAGAGAGAGAGAGAAGTCGCGTAGAGGCGTGGTGGGTGTACCGATGGTGAGCGGGGCGTGTAGGAGGTCAGGGAAGGCGGCGACGTAGGCGGTGACGGCGCGACCGTAGAGGGTGGCCTTGCGCTGGATCAGGGCCTCCCGCTCCCGCTTCTCCGCTGCCATTGCCTCGCTTGCCACTGCTGGTGCTTCCTGTGCTGCACTACAGCTCCCGTCCGGCGCTACAAGCGCCAGTGCGGTCAGTATTTATTATTTATTATGAAAGAATATGTAAATATAGTAATTTGTTACATTTAGATTTATTTATAAAGAAAAACAGATCAATTTCAATCGATCAGGAACTCGCAAGACGTACCGCCATAGGTGCGGTGTAGGAGGGCAGTGAGGCGAGGATGCAGCGAGTCTTGTCGCGGTTGAAACAGCTTCAGCCACTCTTCTGCTGTGGGTCGCTCCATCTTTGCTCTTTTGAGCGTGTGACTCTTGAGGCGACTCGTGAGCCGCAAACCAGCAAAAGAGTAATAAAGTTGCACAGAGTGGGGTTCGAACCCACGCGTGTTTCCACACCAGAACTTGAGTCTGGCCCCTTGGACCAACTCGGGCATCTGTGCTTCTCTGTCCTCACAAATCCATTTCCATTTGCGGGTGGGCAGTCACTCTTGACAAAACAATCACCCTTCCACTGACCAAAAGTTCCCTGGCATGAGCCTGCATCACTCTTTCCCCCTCTCCTCTTATGACTTTTCTGAATTAATAACGACGGATATCGAACCCACGCCCATATTCAGAAATGGCGGGAAAATACGGCACATGCCACACTCTTTGGCGCAGAGCAGGGACAGAAGAGGGGTCACTATGTGGAGTCCACGAGCTGTCGAGCTGGAGACCGTTTGACCTTCTTCGACCCCAAGGCTTGTTGGCTGTGACACCTTTCTCAGCGGAGCCATGCCGAGTTACTGTCGCTGCGGTGTGGCAAGTTCATCTTTTAAAACAACTCCTAATCCGCAGCTGCACCCTGGGGCCAACGTCGTTTTGAACAAAGAGAGTGATGTTCAAACTCTACGCTGACTTGGAAAACGTACCTCGACGCCACTCAGTTGTTTTGTCATAATGTGCAAAGTAGAGCTGCTGACGACTTCACCTGTTCCAGTTCCTCGTGCAGGAGGAAGAGAGCGTGAGCATGTTCCTCCACTGCATGGAGGACAACTACTTCCACGCCGACGACGAACTGGCGGCTGCGCTGGTGCTCATCTTTTCCTCGCGCGGACGTGGCCTCTACCTCCGTGACTCTGCCATCGCCTACGGCATGCGGGCTCGTACTTGCTCCCCTCCTTTCTGCCACTTGCATCATCTTCTCGCCTCGCTCTCCACACAGCTCACCCCAAACGCTCAACCGCATCAGATGATGCTGTCTCGCTGGTGCAGGCGCCAAACTTCTGCACGGACCTCCTCAGCGAGTTCATGCTACTCTGGGGCAAAAGTAACAACACCTCCCGTCGCATCTTCTTGTTGTAGCACCCCAGGCATTGACTCTCGGCAATGGTTTTTGTGCGTAGAATACCTCCGGCGTTTATTGACACCGACGATCAACACACTCTGCTCGAGCGTGTGCCATGTAGAGGTACACGAGGCCCTGCATCAAGCGACTATCTTTTTTCTTCTCTTTCGAGAGCTCTTGTCTTACGCTGGCGAGGGTATCGATGCAGATCGACGAGGACCGATTGGAGAAAAACGACAACCTCTACGACAACGCGTTCAACCTGCTGGCGGTGACACAGAAGCTGCTGAATACGATCATCACCTCCACGAAACAGATGCCCAAGTACGTGCACGACACCATCACGCAGATGGCCATCGGGATGGGATCGGACGACGTGCGCCGATGCCACCTTATCATCACCACGTTCATCTTTATTCGCGTCATCTGTCCCGCTTTGGTTCTGCCTCAACTGCACGGACTTCTCCCTCGTACGTGCGCAAAGCTAAGAACACGACACACACGACACACATGACACACAGACACACACACACCACACGACACACGACACACGACACACGACACTGGACTCATCAGTCAAGTAAATAGATCAACCGAGTTCGGAGCTGCAGCGTAAGCTGATCCTCGTGGCCAAGGTGCTTCAGAACATCGCCCACCAGCACGTCCCTTCCAAAGACGAGGTGCGCTTGCATCATCATCTTCGTTATTACCATCATCGTGTCGCATATCCAAGCTCACGTGGTCTCTCTCGCTTTTGTGTCTTAGCCATACCTGAAAGTGACGAGGGAGTTCACCAAGGAGAGCATCGAGGTGGTCAAGACCTGGGCCACGCAGCTTCTGGAGGTGGATCCGCGGGTGGATCGCTACATGCGGCGGCAGCAGAAGCGTTCGCGCGGCGCCGACATGCACAAGATGAGGAAGAAGCGCCTGCGTCCCTATCTCCTCAAGATCTGTGCCTTCATGCTCTCCAACGAGGACCAAATTCGCGCCTACTTCGAACATCGCGCTCGGTTCGCCCGTGATCCAATGAAGGTGCGACACGACACGCACGCACGCGACACAATCTGACAACACGACACGACACACAGATAAGCCAGGTCTACGGCCGGTTCGCGAACCTGATCGACGAGCTCAAAGGAGCAGCGGCGAGCAAGACGAGGAAGCGGAAGGCGCGCAGGTGGAGCGCTCTCCGCAACCTCTTCGTGGCCAGGATGTGCACCACGCCGCCGGTCGAACAGCTCAAGGACAGTGAAGAGGCAGAAGCTGCAGAGGAGACCAAGTGTAAGATTGGACACGACGTGGCGCGAGTGCGCAGCGCGCAGCAACAACAGCAACAGCAGGAACAAAAGCAACAACAGACCCTGCGTGCGCTGGTCAACCACCGCGATGACGTCGAATCCGGCGATTCGACGGAGGAGGAGGGCTACAACAACGGCAACAGCAGCAAGCCTAAGGAGGTGAATCGAGACGACAGCGGCAGCTCATCATCCGAAGCACTGGATGGTAGAGGGCGGCAGAGTACGACCAAGAAGAAGAGCAAGCGCCAGCCTTATGTCATCGTCTTACCCACACGGACCAACATCAAAAAATGTTGATTTCACCGATTTTCTTGCATCTTTTCCTTTGAGGCGCGTTCTTGTGGTATTCTGGCTTTGGCCGCCAATTCAGGTTTTCGGGGTAAGCAAGTGTCGACTACGGGTTATCGGGCGTTCGGCGAAGATAGACAGGGTAAACCGGCACAGGCCGTACCGTACAAAAGGCGCCATTTTCTTCGTACAAAGCACAAACACAACACACAACCGCAAGAGCAAAGGTGGCTTACCGACACACCGCTCGCTCTTCTGTCCTCGTCATCAAGAACAACTTCGAAACAAATAATCAACAAATCATCCACACATGCAAGTCGATCTGCCTTCATCTTCATCTCCTGCTGCAATGCTCAACCCGCAGCAGCAGGCTGCGATACGCTGCAAGCTGTCTTTCAACGGCGAGCTGCGTTGCTGCGCGCTGGCGCTACCCCCATCGTGGGACGCGCTGCAGGCCGACGTCGCCCGACTCTTCAACATCGGACCCGCCGTGGGCCGCGCCTTCGTGCTCAAGTACGTCGACGACGAGGGCGACAGCGTCACCTTCGACTCGCCCCTCGAGCTACACGACGCCGTCCACGCTGCTGCCCAGGCCACCACGCCCAACCCCTGCCTCAAGCTACTCGTCCAGCTCGTCGGAAGCGTAGTCGAGAAGGCCCCGACTGGTGAGCCGCTACGCGCAAAGTGTCGAGGCAAGCGAGGCGCCTTCCACCAGTTCGGCCCGGGCGAGATGGAGGCCCTGCTGGACCAGCTCGAGGCGCGCGGCTTCGGGCAGCGCAGGAAGCGAAACGCGCGGCTGCTGCGCAAGATGGGCGGCGACGTCGAGGCCGTGATGGCCCTCCTGCGCGAGTCCGACGCGGCGGCCGGGCAACGGCGCCTCGCGCGGAAGCAGAAGAAGCTCGCCCTCGCCCACGCCGACGGTCGCCCGCACAAAAGCAGGTACTACTTGATTGCTACTTCTTCTTCTCTTTCTGGCTCTGGCGCGTACATTAAAATTCATGTTGAAGCTAACCCCACCACTTGCTTACCACCATCATCATCAACACAGGGAAGAGCGCAAGGAAGAGAGGAAGGCCAAGCGCGCGGAGAAGAAGAACTCCAAGGACGCCATCGAGGCCGAGGGCTTCGTCTCCCTGGCTGGTACAGCCCTCTTGCTACCACTACTACTACTACTCTCTCTCTTTTTCCCAGTCTGCTCACACTTTCCAACAACAACACCAACAACAACAACAATGCTAACATTCCCCTTTTATTATTGACTCTCATTGGCGAGCAGACGGCTGGCCGGCGGGAGTGAGTGCGCTCTACCTGGACGGCAACAACATGCTCTTCCTCACGTCGGCGCTCAGGAGGCACGCCCTGGGCAGGGGCCAACGCTGGAGGGCCGAGGCCATGCTCACCTCCCTGGCCGAGTCCTTTGCTCGCGCCAAGCGGGCCACGGGCCTCTGCAACACAGTCATGATCTACGACTCTATCAACAAGCGTCGGGTACGATCTACATCTGGAGATTGTTGTTGTTGTTGTTGTTGTTGTTTGCGCGTTGTCCGTTCATATTGTGGGCGTTGGCATTTAACACTTCATTTAATGTTTATATATATGTTGTGGGGCTGCAGTGTGGCGTGAAGAACCTGGACGAGGGTGCCCGCTTCGCCGTGGCCAGCGCGAGGCCCGAGTTCGCCACTTCCGGTACAAGAGCCTTCCTTGCCCTGCCCAGTTGTGCGCAGCAGTTCACTCAGATGAGGTTCTCCCTCTTTTTCAGACGACGCTCTGGTGGCCTGGGCGCAAGCACTGCCTCCGCAGCAGGTCAAGGCCAGCCTGTTCGTCACGTCCGACCGCGAATTGAAGAACAGGTAACCTGCACCACGACGTGTTGGCATGCTCCGTTTGGAGCGCTTGACAGCTGACCAACTGACACCGTGCACACGACATCGATGACCACTGGACAGGTTGCTCGCGGTCGGCGCTCTCGTGGCCAAGCCCAAGCAGTGGGTCGAGTTGGCGCGGCGCACCATCGAAGACGGACAGACGGACGCCGCATTCCGCCAGCCGCAAGGGGAAGGGGAGCCCAGCATGGAGGAGGCGGAGCAGCTCAGACCGGAAACGGAGGCCGACGAGCAGCAGTCGCTTGACGACTTCCTCGAGGAGTGGGGCAAGAAGCTGGTGCTTCACGACTACAATGACCACCATGACGACGATACCACCAGAGAGGACTCAGCTGACGATCTTCACGGCGCAGGTGAAGAGAAGCAGACTTCGGTCGAAGGCATGCTTCTTTGATAATCAGCTGGTGCCACCAACCTGCCAGTGCTCACTCATCGGGCCTCGCCAAGCAAGGGTTTATTATTCATGAATGAAACTGTCTTTATCATCAACTCCATCATTGCATTTTTTTTTTAGGCAGTACAACCTTCAAGCCTGTGTGAAATTCTACCCACTTGACAGCCCAGTTGGGTGATTTGTTGAGTGAGCTTGTCTCTACTAGTGAGTCTCAAGGCAGGTCCATGTTGCCGTTAGTGATGTACCGTGGCCACCTGCTTCATGAACGCCGCACTCCTTGGGAACTGCAACACTCCACACTGCAGCAAACCCTTCACACGCAGCAGGAATTCTCCAGTGCCACCTGATATGCATGCCCTTGGATGAGCGTGTTGTGTTCTGATCCGCCCCGCTGTGAAGGAACCGAGGAGGTTGGTTGGGTGCAGACCAATGACTCACACCCGGTGAAGGGCTGGGGTGTGGTTAACTGGTTTAATTTGGTACAGTACGCCAAAACTGAGAGGTGTGGTGCTGCTCACAGGGTCTTGGTGATGGTAACGGAGTCAATGATGGACTGGGTGGAGGCGTCGTAGAAGTCCCACTTGAGGGTGAGGTTGTCGACCGCCAGGATGCCGTAGCCCCACCCAGTGCCCCACCTGAAGGCCGACCAGGAGGGCGCCGGGTTGTTCCACTTGGACGGGTCCAGGTCCGTGAGGCCCTCCACACACTGCGTGTGTCGTTGGTTGTGTCGAGGTTGTGCGGCGGCATCAGCACCAGCATCACGGCCTTAGAAACATGAACTACTGCCATCACGTGCAGGGAGCAGGGAGAGCGTACGCCGGCATTGCCCACCACGATGCCCACGGGGGCCTTCGGGTTGGTGTAGTCGCTCACCTTCTTGCCCCTGTACGCCGGATAGTTCCTGCATTGCGTGCGCACGCGTTTGAGTTGGTTGAGATGAGCCATCTCGAGTTGAGAGAAACCAGCATGGGCGCGCCAATCAATAGATAAACAGACGCGTACCGCTCATAGCTGTGGACGTGTCCGGTGAAATAGGCGTCGACGCCGTACTTCATGAACAGGTCCTCGAACGTCTTCTGGAGCGTCGCCGCGTTGCTGCCGCCCAGGGGGAAAAGACTTGATTCACGCAGCGCCGAGCTTAGTCATGTGAACGGGCCTGGGCCTATCGGGAACACGACATGTCGTGTGCGTGTGTGCGCATGCGGTGCGTGCGGGTGCGTACCCGTTGGTGGGGTTGCCCTCGAGGTCGGAGTAGCCTCCGCTGCTCGAGTAGATGGGTCGATGTCCGCCCACGATGATCCACGGCCTCTTGTGCCTGTTCTGGTTGGCCTTCGCCAGGTCCGCCTCGAGCCACGAGAGCTGATCGCCAAAGTCATCTGCGACGCGGCCCAGCATGCGGTGAGAACCGGAACCCCCACGACCCACGATGCGCGAAACACACGACACACGACACACGCGCGCAAGCGAGCGAGCGAGGAGAGCGACGGTACTGCCGAAGGGTGCGTCGGGGTAGCTGGTCTCGGTCGAGAGGGAGATGAAGTGCACGTTGCTGTAATCGAACGAGTAGTACATGCTCTTCTGCGCACCCGACGTCGAACCCGGCATCATGAACCGGTGGTTGTAGACCACGAAGTTGTGGGTCTCGAAGAACAGGAACGGATCCCAGCTCGTGTACTCGTGGTTGCCTGGCATCGCACACACACACACACCACACACATTCCACCACACAATGATTCGTATATTAATTGATTGCCGGCACCACCACCATCGGCTAAGTGTGTTGTTGGTTGTTGGTTGTTGGTTGATGGGGGAAAACAGTAACACACATACCGGGGAGGACCATGTAGGGCTTGATGGAGGTGGTGTTCTCCATCATTCCTGCCCACGTGTTCCAGGTGTTCTGGAAATCAAACACGTGGTCATCCGCATAACTGCGTAGCGGGTCGCGAGTGTGCGCGAGGATCGTGTGAGCATGCTGAGAATACGTAGGAACATGTCGCGATCATATATATATATTGTTGCGCCTGCGGGTCCGCACTTATTACGGATTGATCAGCCAGGCCTGGTACGTCGTACCTGATGTCGCCGACGTGGTACACCCAATCGATCTCGTCGTTGAGGGACTTGCTGTTGACGCCATTGGCCGTGTTTTGCGAGTTCACGATGCCCTGAAGTTATTTGTTTTCATCAGCACCAGCAGCAACCACAGCGACCACAGCAACAGCATCAACATCGACATAAATATCATCGAACCCAAGGCGGCACGTACCATGTCGCCGTAAATGGCGATGGTGAAGGGCGTGTTGGTGTTGTCCGGAGGAGTCACGAACGAGTACACCGCGCTCCACCCGCCGGACGCGTCACCGCACCTGCACAACCACGCACGCACGGCATCAGCAGGCGAACGTGCACGTTGTTCCGCCAAGTGCCGTGTGTGCGGTGTGTGTGTGTGTGTGCGGTGTTGGAGGTTATACCGATAGTAGTAGCGGGTGCCGGGGAGGAGGTCACGGAGCACCGCAAAGTGGTTGAAGCCGTAGCCGGAGAACCACTCGTTCGCCACGCCCGTCGCGTTGCCGGTGAAGGGCGGCTTGGTGCCGAACTGCACCGTCGACGTCGCCGTACGGTCTGCGTGGGGAAAAAACCATTTTTATTATTATTATATTATATGTTAATAATTACTTGTTATTTCGTCCATTAAATGAATTAATTAAATCGGTTAAAAAAAAAGAGTAATTATGACTCGTGGCTTGTGAAAGTTAACGACGCTAGCGTCGAGGCCTGTAAAAGGAAATAGTGCAAGGGAAAGGCAGCGCACCCTGAGTGTACCAGCCGACGTTCATCTCGGTGGTGCTCCGGTCATGGCGAGGTGCACATACCGTACGTTGGTGTCTGCAGTTGTTTTGGTTTGTTAATTGGGAGATGAGTTCATCTCCACCAGATTTAACTCCATAATCAAATCTCCCACGCCCGCATCCTGGAGCTGTGAGAGGCTTTGGGGAGGGGACTAACGTACCGGCAGCGTGGACTGCCAGGAGGGACAGCAGCACGAGCAGGCCCACGAGGCCCAGCAGGTTCTTCATTGCGCCGACAGACAGCAGAGAAGAAACAAAGCCAACGTTCGACTTACTCCAACGACTCTTCTTCCGTGTCGACACAAAAAATAGAGTCCCAACTGTACAGCGCCGACCGGGATGTCCCGATGGTGGGAAGGCACCACTTCAAGTGGTGGCCGACTGGGAGCGGCGTTGGCGCCGTTTGACGATGAGGCTGGCCGACGGCGACGCCGATGACGAGCCGGCGGCCGATGGCGCCATCGGCGAGTCTCCGGCGGCGGCAACGGCGGAGGTGGTCGATGACGAGTCCCACGGGAGGGAGCCGGTGAAGGGGCGTAGCGTGTGGAGCTGCAGCTTGAGCTGCTCGATCTCGTCCCGCAGCAGGGTGACCTCGTCCCGCGCCGCCCCGCCCTCCTCCGACTGTGTCTGGTCGTTGGTCGGCTGTCGCTGCTGTTGCTGGTGGTGGTGGTCGGTGGCGTCCAACGACAACGACGGCGTGTGGTGCTTCTTCTTGGCCGGGGCGGCCTTCTTCTTGGGCGAGGCCGGCGGGCTTTTCCCCGAACCGGATGAGGATTGGTCGCTCGAGCGGAGGCGCTCTACCTTTCGCCGGAAGGTGGTGCTGGCCTTGGCCTTGGCCAGCAGGCTGCTGTTGCTATGCGACGCCGACGAGAAGCTGGCCGCCCTCCGCGTGGGCTTGCGGCGCGAAGAGCCACTCGACTCTTCCTCGTCATCGTCACCACCACCACCACCATCATCATAATTGTCATCGCCGTTGGCGCTGTTGGTGTCGTGGTGATAGTCGTCGCCGACCTCACCGGCGGGCAGGGCGTTCAGCTGACGGAGGAGGGCGTGGTTGATGAGCTTCTGGATGCTGCGGAACCACATCCGCTTCTCGTCCTCGCTCTCGGCCCCGAACAGGTAGCGCCGCAGCACGTGCTCCTCGTCGGCGCTGCGCCACAGGGCCTGCAGCTCGAACCGGTGCAGGTGGTGCGTCTGCTGCGACTGCACGTCGGGCGTCGAGTCGCTGTCCTTGCGCCATCGCCGCAGGCTCCCCTTCACCTTCCTGTTGTCGCTGTTGGTCTGCTGCTGTTGCCTGCTGTCGACAGAAGAAAGGTCGTCGTCGCCAGCCGTCGAGCCACGCGGGGAGGGCGCGTCTGTCGACAAAGGCGACGTTGATGACTCTGCCGACAATGAGACGCGCTGCTGCTGCTGCTGCTGTTGTTGTTGTTGTGCGATGATGGCGTCGGCGATGGTGTTGTCGGCAGAGACGACGTTGATGATGCGCGACGAGGCCAGCGGGATGCGGTGCATGGATGAGAAGCAGCGCTTGTGCCGCTTGGCCGGGTCGAGCAGCTTGGCGCTCTTGAGCCGGTCGGCCACCACCATGATGTCGCTGAAGAGGAACACCACCACGGGCTTCCCGGTCGGCGTGTGACCAGACTGCTGGTCACTGCCGCCGCCGCTGCCGGGTGGGTCGAAGGCGTAGAGGTGGCCCTCGTGGATGAAGTTGCGCGAGGAGCCCATGATGTCGCGCAGGTGCTGCCGCGAGAAGTAGCCGGCGATCTGCCGCATGCGCTGGTGGTTGGCGCCCCGCGCGGCGGCCTCGTTGGAGGCCGTCACCACCGCCACGATCTGCTCCTGCGCCGCACGCAACAGCTCGTAGTCCACCGCCGTGCGCGGCGTCAGCTCGAGCAGCTCCTGAACGCGTGTGTGGAGCACACGACCGGGCGTCAGTCAGTCAAATTAGTAGCTTCGCTTTCGCTGTCAGCTTTGTCAGCTAAAGAATCTAAAGAAGTGACCGATCACGTACGCTGAGGAACCGCGGGTACTTGCAGATGCGCTCCAGCGGCTGTAAGACGTGGCCAACGATGCGACGACGACATGGAATGTAAAGCAGGTGAGCCGATGATGATGACTCACGGGGGATGGGTGGGGTCAAACGCACAGCGATGAGCAGCTCGGCGAGCGTGAGACCGCGAGCCGCCTCGCTCGCCTCGATGTTCTAAACATAAAGGGGACCAAGTATTGTCAGCCGACGGCGTTCAACTTTGGAGAGAGAGAAACGAAAGAGAGAGGCGTACGCGGATGCAGCGGCGAAAGGCGGAGCTCGACTCGTTGAGCTTGTGGAGGGCGGCGAGGGCGGCCGCATGCCCGCTACAGAACCGGTGGTAGTTCCCAAAGTACGACTTCTGCACTCGTGCAAAGGCGTCGGTTGGTAAGCGAGAGAGAAAAGCGAAGACAAAGAGCGAAGTTTGGTGTGGTGGCGTGCCATGGTGAGGAAGATGTCGCCGATGGGTGGGGGCTGCGGCTGCGGGGTGGCGTAGGAGTAGCGGCGGAAGCGGCGGAAGAGGAGGCTGTGGAACTCGCGGTGCATGTCGGCAAAGAGGCCCACGTTCGAGCTCAGGAACCGCTCCTGCTCGCCCACCAACACACCCTTCTCCACCAGCGGTGGGAGGTATACCTGCGCCCATCGCGCACAACACACGACACGACACGACACGACACCCGCAGACGACACACGCCACACACACACACACACGCACGCTGTTAGCTATTTTACCCGTGGCAGGTTCTGCTGCAAGCTGGGTGTTCACACCTGTTGGATGATGTGCAAGTGGCGGAGGTAGAGCTCCTCGCTTTCGATCAGCTCCTCCACGAGGCGCAACCTTGAGGCCACCCAACCACCCCAGCCACCCGGTACACGTCAGCATTTGCGGCGCCTCGTTCCATCCCTCTGCGCCCACCACACCATGCGCACCTCTTCTTCTCCAGCTCCGCGCGAAGCGGGATTCGTTCGGCGGCCGCCGGCGCCGGCGCTTCTGTCGCCGTCGCCGATTGGACTGCAGCTGCTGCCGGCTTCGGGGACGGCGGAGGCGACGATGACGATGCGGACCGTGCAACCGTCGGTTGCGCTGGTGGCGCGCGGGGAGGCGGCGGCGTCGACGATGGCTCGGCAGCGGCCGAGGCGCGTGGGTGGTGGAGGGAGCGGCGGAAGAGGGCGGAGTAGAGCTGCTCCAGCTCGTCCGTGCGGAGGTACCGCGTGCCGCGCCTCGCGCCGCCCACCACCGCGTTCTCGGGGGGCACACCACACGCCGGCAGTGACGCTGCGGCTGAAGGCGCGCCGTCGTCGCCGTTATCGTCATCGTCATCGTCATCGTCGTCGTGGTCGTCTTCTCCTTCGGAGTTGCTTCCGAGCGAGTCGTCCGACGTGTCTCCATCGTCTTCGTCGTTGTCGCTCGTGTCGTCCTCTTTTTCTTTGTCCTTTGCCTGTGGCGCAGTCGTGGTGGTCGTGTCGGTGTGGTCGGTGTGGCGCGCAGGCGTGCCGCTCATCAGAGGCTCCGCCGGTCGGTCGGCGACGGCGGGTGGTGCGGACCGCGGCGGGGGCAGAGGCGGAGGAGGTCCGCCATCCTTGCCCATGAGCTTGAGGGACAGCAGATGGGGCGCTGGACGCAGCGACGACTCGTCGATGCACGAGTACGGAAACAGGCCCTGCCTGCGCCCATTGGGGCGCGCGTTGCAATATGCGCGAGTGAGCGCTCATGCGTCAGCGAGGGTGAGTGTTGTTGTTGCGACGACCCTTCTTTCATTGGGTCTCATAGGTTGGAAGCTGTTTGCAAACGAAAAGCGAAGCGAAAAGAAAAATGCGAAGGGGGGGAGCGACGGTACCGTCCGTCGGGGTGGGAGACGCGAGCCCAGCCGTCGAGAGAGTGGGAGTGGATGACGAGCCACTGGCCGGCCTCGGCCCCCACATGACTCCCCTTCAGCCCGCGAAAGGTGCGCCCCACCTGCCCCACCACCACTCCCGCTCTTGGCGGTGGCGGCGCGGTGGTGCCGGTGGCCGCAACAGAACAGGACGCGTCCTCCCTCTGCATGAGTCAACTTCAACAACAAACCGCCTTTTTGTTTGTTTCCTTCCTTTAGTGGCCTCGCAAGTGCCACGAACTGCGGTGGCACCACAACAAGCCCGGCAAATATTATGGCGTGCGCCATGCTTGGGAATCCTCCTCTGCCGTAGGCGAACTAGAGGGGTCTTCCAAGGAATTCAAAACATCCAATAGATGGTTTGGTGAGGGCCTTGGTTGGTGGGGCCCTACTACTCCGGAGAGGCCATACCTTCTCCTCTCGTGTCGTGGGGGAGTCCCACGCCAAACCGTTGTTGTTGCTTTGGGGGGGGGGCAAGACACCTCTGTTGAAGGCACCTACCACTACAACTACAACAAGCTGCTGAGACAGTTGTCGTTGCTCTCTTCGACGTCTCCCCCTTCGTCATCGCTGCTGGTGCTGCTGGTGCCGTCGTCTTCGTTGCTCGCATCGCCGGTGGTGGCCGCGGGAGATGCGCAGTGGTCGTCTTCTCCCGTCGCGTCCGGCTGCCTCTTCAGCATCGCTGTCGCTCTTCAGTGATGATGGTGGTGGTGGTGGTGGTGGTGGTGAAGAGGATGATGGTGATGATGAAGAGGATGACGAAGAAGATAAGAAAAAGAGAAAGGTCAATCACAGGCGAGGAAACAAGACCGACGTGGGGGGCGGTGCTTACTTGAGGCGGCTGGAGCCGATGCCATCGGCGAGAATGGGCACGTTGTTGGCGTCGAGGCTCCGCTTGAACCAGGTGCCGGTGCTCGTCCGCTGCGCCCGCTTCTTGCGCAGCTCCTGGACCATGCCCTCGTCCCACCCGCCGCCGCCCTCCTCCTCCCCCTCGGCCGGCGCCATCGTCGTCGCCGCCTCCTCGCCGCCCTCCGTTGATGGTGGCGACTCCTTCAGCTCCTCGCTCGCCGCCGCCGCTGCTGCCGGGGACGACTTCTTGCGGCCGCTGGTGCTGTTGGCTCGTTTTCGGAGGTACTTGAGCCCGCTCCTGGCCTCCTTCTCGTCCTTCTCTGACGACGAATCCTTGGCGGCGGCGGCCGTGGGGGCCGGGGTGGAGGCCTGGCGCTGGAGGTCGCTCGCGGGCGGCTTGGCCTTCTTGCGGAAGAGGGTGTTCATCGAGAACGAATGCCGTCGCAGGCTCATCCCCACCCCCTTGCGCTCCGGCACCGGCGTCTTGCTACCGCCGCCGCCGCCGCTGCTGTGTCGCTTGCCGCTCTCCTTCGCTCCGCCTCGCTCTCCCGCCTCCCCCTCCTCGCTCCCTTCGTCTTCCTTGCTCGCCGCCGCCTGTGCCGCGGCTGCCTGTGCCGCCGCCCCTGCCGCCGGAGCCGCGGGCGTAGAGTCGTCGCCGCCCGGGGGCTTGGGCGTCTCCTTGGTGGGCTGCTGATCTCCGGTGTCGACGCCATCGGCTCCGCCGGCGTCACCGGCCTCGTGTATCGCCGTCGAGGTCGCGGTCGCGGTGGACGGAGGCGAAGAGGCCTGCTCCGCGGGCTCCGCCGCGCCTGTCGACGACGAGGGCGACGGCGGCGACGGGGATCGAACCCCCGGCAGGGCTGAGAGAGGCGGATCGGGAGACGACGACGAGCGGGCGGATTCGGGGGCCGCCGCGGCGGGGGTTGCCTCGGCGCTGGCGACCGCTGGGCTGGAGGAGGAAGAAGAGGGCGAGGGCACGACGCTGCCGGTGGCGGTGGCAGTGCGCGTGGCGATGGACTTGTGGCCGACGACGGCCATGTCCAGGAGCACCTTGTCGAGCACGCTCATCCACTCGGTCTTCTCCCTGCACGATGCATGGATTAGAGCCGGTGCGAACCCATCGATACGAAATCGACGACAAGAAGAAGAAGAAGAGATTAGGTACCGCTCTGTGGGCACGGCGAAGAGCCAGGCTCGGTCGTCGGTGAACAATTGGAAGCACTGCGCAAATGTCTCCGTGCCTGCAGGTGCGATGGTCACATGTGAATAACAAGAATAATACTACTACAATAATAATAAAGGCTGATAAAGGATATAAATAGTAAATGCTGGAGATGGCGATGGTACCGATGATGGCCTGGGGCGCGTTGGAGACGGTGCAGTCCGCGGAGAGGGCGATCTGCGTTTCGAACTCGAAGGTCTCGACGTCCTTGGGCTGGCCGTCCTCGTTCTTCATGAGCTTCTTCTTGGCCTTCTTGGCCATGAAGTTGAAGCTCATCAGCGACGTGAGGCCAGTCTTCTTGGCCAGCACGATCATGTCGTTGAACAGGAACGCATAGTGGTCTGTTTTCTTGTAGGCACTGATTTGCGCGTTGCCTGTTGTTGGACCCTCGTTAGCTCGTGTGCGTGTGTTCATGTGCGTGTGCGTGTGCGTGTCGGTCGTATTGCGTGTCGTGTGCGCACCGCTACGTTCGGTTGGTGGGGAGGCGAGGCTCTTCTTCCGCATCGTGTTGGACATCTTTTGGATCTTGCCCTTGGAATTCGGGGCCAGCTGGATCTCGGCCATGACCCCCTCGAACACGTACATGCGGCCCGGAACCACGATGTTCTGTCATGGCGAAGAACGCGCCGAGAGAGCAAAGAGAAAAATTCGGTAAGAAAACGAGTTAGCCCTCCATTGCACGTGGCTCATCAGCAAAGTGGTACGGGTGCATGGGGGGCGTGTACCTCAAATTTGCCGATGAGCTTGTCCTGGATGGCGATGACCTCGTAGATGTTCTCGGCCTCCTTCTTCTGGATGTTGATGAACACGGCCAGCTCCTGCATCTTCGTGCGCGCATCGGAAAGCGCCGGGTAGTCCGGGTGCGAGGGATGCGTGTGCTTCACCAAATCCTGATCAGGGCAACCCAAGACGTCAGTTCGCCTGTATCGTGTGTCGGTGTCGGGTCGTGGTGTCCTTACCGAGAGCAGCATGACATAGCGCGGGATCCGTTGCACGGGCATGATGAGGAAGGCGTTGAGGTCGAGGCCCTTGCACTGTTTCCTGTTTTGCGAGTACTGCGAGCCGCCACGACCATCATCGTTGTCAGCCCCCCAGGGCAAGCTACAAAAAGGCAATTGATGATGGTGAGTGCGTACCATAAGGAAGGCACGAAAGTCTTCCGAAGTGCGCTTGAGCCGGGCGACGATGGTGATGGCCTTGTTGAAATGGTTGACGTACTGCGTGTAGACCTTGAGGAACATCGACTGTATGCGAACAAGAACAAGACTCATCAGCATCACTTTCCTTCTTCTTCTTCTTCTTCTTCTTTTTCTTCTTCTCATGTTCGCCAGCAAGGGCGCGGTGGTGTCGGTACCATCTTGGCAAAGATGTCGCCGAGGCAGATGTCGAAGTGCCAGTGCTGCATGCGCTCGGCCAGCTCGGCGAAGAGCTTGGCGTTGTAGCCGAGGATGACCTCGATCTCGGAGAAGATGCCCTTGAGGTCGGTGTGGGTGATGATCTGCTTGTTCGTCGGGTCGCGCAGCGGGTTCACGAACACCTCCACCACCGCACGCAGGCTCTGCACGTAGGTCTGCTCCGTCGACAAGATCTCCTCCGCGATCTTGTTGCGTCGCCCTGCACACGCACACACTGTTAGACCACGACACGCACGACACACACAAGACACACAACACAACATGACACACGCATACAGGAAAGCGGGCGAGCGTACAGAACATCTTGTAGAAGCGCTTCCAGGAGGGGAGGGAGTAGTTCTGGGCCTGGGTGCCGCGGAAGAAGGTGCGCCACACCGAGTTGGAGTCGGCCGCGCGCTGCCACGCCTTCTGGACCAGCCCGAGCACGGCCAGCTCCGGCGGGCGGAAGTAGATCATGATCCGCTCCAGCACGCGCCGCGGCAGCCGCAGGTACTCGTCCGGCGCGTAGACAAAGTCGCGCGGGTCCTCCTCCTCCTGGTGCTCGTCGCCCTCTTCGCCCTCCTGCTGGAGGAGCAGGCTCTCGTCGTACTCGCCGGCCAGCGACGCGGCGGAGGCGACCCCCGATTGTTGCTGTTCGCCGGCGAGCGCGTCGCCCGACTCCTCGCGCGTCTGGCGGTCGATGAGGGCGCGCACGCGGTCCTGCAGCTCCTGCACGCGCCGCTGCGTCTGGCGCTCGTTCTCGCGCTCGCGCTCCTGCCGCCTCTGCTGGCGCGCCTCGCGCCGTCGCCGCTTGTCCTCACTCTCCGGGCGGGGCGGGTCGAGCCTGTGCAGCAATTTCTTCCGGCGGTGCGCCACCTCCCGCCGCGCCCGCTTCTGCAAGGCCTCGTCGTCATCTCCCTTCTCGCCGCCCGAGTCGTCATCATCGTCGTCATCCGTAGATGTCGTAGATGTGGACGTCGGCGACGACGATTCGGTGTCGTCGTCGTCGTCGTCGCTGCTGTGGTTCTCGTCGTCGCTGGCGCTCGACTCCTTTTCGGCCGCGGGCTTGGCCAGGACGTCCCGGAGGCCGCCCCCACCGATGGGTTGCGGGACGCCGGGGGGGGCATCTCGGCGGACGATGGTGCTGCCCCGCCTGGTGGGCGCCGAGAAGACCAGCGAGATCGACTGCTTGCGTTTGGCGACCGGTGGGGCGCTCTTCTTTCGTAGAGGCGAGTCCTTCTTCTTTTTCTTGTTTGCCATCTTCTTGCTCGTCGCTTTGGTATTTCCATTGCTCGATTCATCATCTTGGCTCGAATCACTACGATCGCCGTCGTCGTCGTCGTCGTTGTCATCGCCATCATCGTCGAAATCGCTCTTAGAGCCGCTGTTCGCAGACGCATCTTCCTTGGACCCTTCATCATCATCCTCACCATCTTCCTTTTGCTTCTTCTTGTTCGTCTTTATGGGAAGTGCGCCCTCGCTCTGCTCCAGGACGTCCCTGGTGGGCTCCAGGCTCCACTCGTCCCCCTGCTCGTCCATGCTGGGTACCGCGCACAACCTGGTTCGAGATGTCGATTGAAAAGATGGAGAGCGCAGAGAGAGAACTGTCAGGCCTGACTAGATGCAGAGCAGATGTGCGCCCAAAAGAAACAAAACAAAATAGTTTGCCAGGTTACGGTTTTTGACGTGGGGGCGCGGACCCTTCCTTTTCGGCATCTCTGCATTTGGCGTTGGCCGGCATCCGAAACCTGACCTGCGCGTGGAGACGAAAGGGCGCCACCACCACGGGTGAAAGAAAGAACGAACGAAAAGAAAAGAAAAAGTTTATCGTCATGTCTTCGATGCTGATGGTGGCGGGTACTGCGGCATAAATAATAAAAAGAGAGCAGAGAGAGAAGATGGGGAGGGAAGGAAGGATCAATATCTAATATTGATGATCTTAGACACTCCCTTGGACACCCACGAAATGATGCCCTCGTTCTCGTCTTCCTTCTGATAAATGCATGACGACACACAAAGATCCAGGCACAGAAAAGGTCAGTAAACACAACGGTGTGTGGCACGGGCGTGTGTGTGTGTGGCACCACGGCCATGAGCCGAGCGGCATGAATGAAGAAAGCGTGCGACTTACCTCCAAAATGTAGTTCCGCAGGTTCTCAAAGTGTTGGTTCCACTCCGCGAAGCGAAGGCTGCTGTCCGTTGGGTTTATGTACACGTCCTTCAGCGAGTCCTCCACACACTTGACCGCGCTCTGCTCGAATTCGGAGGCATCCGCGGCCAGAAACCTGTGTGCCCGCGCACCAAATCGTCAGCATCACCCAGCTCGCCAAAGCAAAAGCAACAGAACAGCGTGACGTGTACCGTGTGTGTGTGTGTGTGTGTGTCGTGTGTCGTGGGTGTCGTGGGTAACGTACTTGGCTGCAGCGTCCGCGTTGAGGGGGTTGTCGGCTTGTATGTGATAGAAGAGTTTCTTCACATGGGCCAGCACACACCAGATCTGGTCCCGGTAGGCCACCCACCGGGGAAACGCTCGCGTGAGGTCCACTTCGCCTGTTTCCAGTTTACGAATCACGTGTGTGTGCGCACGAGGTCAGAACGTGCGGTGAGCGCGGTGTGCGCGAAACAGAGGGGGCATCGCGGTTCACCTTGGGCGGAAACGAGGGGATGGAACACGGGAGTCACGAATCTCAGCGTGGGCGCGGCATCGGGATAGGCTTCGGGGATGGACAGCACGAACTTGAAGACCCCTGTGACAGGTGCGCGAATGTGTGAACACGCGGGCCAAGGGACATGCGAGATGGTTGAAGTTCGGCACCTTTCTTGTAGAGGCCCTGACGTATGAACATGACCCCGTGCCACTCTGATAACAGCGCCCATGGCCGTTAGCTGCTGCCCTGTGTGCAACGCGCGCAAGCGCTGGTAGTGACTGCTACGTACCGAAGAGGCTCTGGAGAGAAGGCAGCACAAACACGCCACTAGGCACGTGCTGCGGCAGTTGCTTACTGTGTGTGGTACAACGTGTGAGCGCGAGAAGGAATGCAGGGCACAAATTGGAATTAAAGCAATTTGAAAAAAAGAGTAAACAAATCTGAGAATGGCGGGAAAGGGGAGGCGTACTATTCAATGAGCACGGTGTACTCTCGCAGGTAGGGGGCGTACTTCTCCTCCACAAAGGTGTCAATCTTCAGCTGCCCCTTTTCCGCCGCACCCGCAGAGTAAGCCGTAGGCGTGGATGATGATGGATTGGTTGTGTGTGTAGTTGAGTCATTCCCTGGCCCCTCGACCGCCGGCGTGGCTTGGGCGTCGTCCCTCTCCTCCATGCGTGGAACAATCAATCTCGACTTCGAGTTTGTTGCAAGCGTTTCGTGACCCCAGGCAAGCGATTTCGGAGATTTGAGGGTTCCGCAAAAGAAAAATTCTTTTCTTTTTTGTTTGTATTTCCACACTGGCCAGTGGCCACGATTCGACAAGATGAGCGCTGATTTCGGTGCCAAAAGTGGCGCCTATGCGCACACTCATCTTCTATGATGTAGCCGGTGGTTTGCGCACAGGGCAGCTTGATTTGGTGGCCTGTTTGGAGCAGATCTCGAAATCAATAAAAAATGATTTTTAGATAACCATGCCTGGCAAAAGCCGGGCGTATGGGGGAGTCGACAGAATCGCAATCCTGGCCACCTTAAAGGGTACCTACCGGGAGGTACTCTGCTGACGTGTCAGGCGGGGAAAAGGAAAGGTCGACAGAATCGGGATCCTGAGTCGGAGATTAATTTCGAAGTGCAAATTAATCTCCACCATATCCATGGGGGTGGTGTGCCGCCAAATGAATCCTCATCAGTATGTGGTGTTGGTGGTCACATGACTGCAGCCTCACAGAACCTGTTCTGGGAAAGATATTGGTGGTGAGAGTTAAGTGAGCAAGTGATGGTTAGAAAAGAAAGAAAAGGAAATTTATTTCCATTTCCATTTACAATTTCTATTTTGTAGCGGCCAAGATGAGAGCGTCAAATGCAACGCGAGCACATCCACGGTCGGCAAGAGGGGGGCTGAGAACGCACGCTACCTCGGCGTCGCAGAGCCTGAAGCGCGCGGCCACAGTGTTGGTCGTGGCACCCACCCTGCGCTCATCAGCAACGCACCAGGACGACTACCGCGTCCTCATGGTTTGCCTTCTATAAACTGCCTGTGGTCAACAGTTGACGCTTCTCTTGCTTTGCCCGACCATCTTTTCGTTTAATGCAATTGCGGGCCGAGCAGGTGAAGCGGGCAGCCAAGAGTCGGTTCATGGCGGGAGCGCACGTCTTCCCGGGCGGCATCCTCGAAGACGGAGACTCCGACCCACGGTGGCGCGACATCGTGCCTTCTGGCGTACGCAATAGCCACCTCCACCCCGCTCTTGGGTTGTCGATGCCCCACTGACCAACGTAGATGTGGATTGTGCGTCGTGTGTCGTGTGTCGTGTCGTGCGTCGTGCGCAGAAGGAGATAGATGCCGGCGAGCTGGCGTGGCGGCTCGCGGGTGTACGGGAGGTGTTCGAGGAATGCGGGCTCCTCATCTCGCGACCGCCGCTCTCCTCTTCTCCACCCGAGGCCAAGAAATGGCGCGAGAGGTCGGCCCAGGATAGCACCCACTTCCTGCGCATGTTCACCGACCGCGAAAGTGACGACAACGCCGGCCTGCGCCACCACATCCCAGGTCTTGCTCGCCCACGACAGTCAGGGCTTGTAAAACGCCTCTTCCATGTGCGACTGACCACACCACCACATATTCACATCCCGCAGACACGGAGGCGTTGGTTCCCTGGGCGCACTGGGTGACGCCATTGGAGGAGAAGTGGCGCTACGATACCCGGTTCTACCTCTCCGTCCTTCCGCAGCCCTATGACCACGCACAGACCGACGCCAGGGTAGGCCTCCTCTCGCCTTTGCACTGCTTACTTCACCTAGTGAATGGATGATGAGTGCAAAGTTTTTTGAAACGAAAACGAAACACTTTTGTTGTGTTCCGCACCAGGAGGTCACCCATCTCGACTGGTTTGCCCCGACCGAAGCCCTGCGCGCGTTTGACGAAGGTACCAACCACCAATCGCAGCCCACCCACATCCCCGCTGACGTGCCTGCACCGCACGACCATAATGGCCCGCTTTGTCAGGCACAATATCTCTCCCTCCGCCCACGTGGTTCATGCTCAAGGAGCTCACCAACTACCCCTCGCTCGCCTCTCTCCGCGAAGCCACCACACGAGGTAGTCACCATCACCATCACCATCACCATCACCATCACCATCACCATCACCATCACCATCACCATCACCATCACCATCACCATCACCATCACCATCACCATCACCATCACCATCACCATCACCCCGCTGATCTGGCCAGACCCACATCATACATAATATATGGGGCGGCTACGGGGCGTTGGCGTGACTAATGCAGGAAGGGACCTCACGCCGGTGCAACCGAGCCTGGTGCCGACGGACGAAGGCCTCGTGATCGCGATGTCGGGCGACCGACTGCACTGGGCCTCGCGCGGGTCGGTGGCGGCGCGCGGCTTCAACCGCATGCTCGTGCCCCTCCCCTCTCCCCGACAGGCCGAGGCCGGACCGGGGCGGCAATCCTACGCGCTCATCGTCGACCCCAACCCTCCCCTGTCTGCGTCCCTGTGACATAGCTGGTTGACATTTTTGCTGAATATAATTTTTATTTCAATTTTCTTTATTTATTTATTGTGGCCGAGTAAATGGACGATCTCCCTGGTGGCCACGCAGAAGATGACGAGGGGCAGCTGCGGCAGAAGCCGCAAGTGGCGGTGCAGACCCCGTGGCCACACTCGCGCTTGCTGAGTCTGAGCGCGGTGCTCCTTGGTAGCCCCCCCCCCACTCTCTTCCTTCGTTCTATTTCTCTCCTTCTTTTAGTCAGCGCAGCGAAGGAGCGCGGACTTCTGATCTGGGGTGGTGGCCCACCCCACAGGACGAGCGACGCTGTGGTCTGGCGTGACGATGCAGCTGATGCCGCGACAAGTCATCACCATGGCCGGCGAGCGATACAAGGGCACCGCCCTCGGCTTCATCAACGTGCGTGTGCGCAGGCTGCACTAGTTACGTTGCGTGATGGGCGAGCCTCGCACGGCGTCACTGACCCGACCACCTATGGTTTGCCCGTGCAGACCGTGGCTGCGATTGGAGCGGGCGGAGTGCCGCCCGTGGTGGGCGCCGTAAGCGACAGGACGTGGCTGGACGCCGAGTTGCAGCGTCGGCGGTGGTGGTGGAGGTGGCTGCCGGCCGGCCGACGACGCCCCTGGACGGCGGTCGCGGCGGTGCTGGTGGCCGTGGCCCTTTTGTTCATGGGCCTCGCCGGCAACCCGGTACGCGACGCGTGTGCACATGCTCTTCTTGCAGCACTGCTGACGTGGCACCAATCCCAAAAGGGGGTCGGATGGGTCGTGGTGTACGGATTGGCCACCACATTCATGGCCTCGGCCGATGCCTTCTTCACTCCGGCATTGGGTACTTCTTCGCCGCACTCGTTCTCTCTGTCGGTGTGTGTCTTTACAACGGATTTGTTTGGGGGGGGGTTTGACCTGCAGCGCTCTTGCCCGATCTCGTGCCGGCGGCGCAGTACGGCGCAGCCTCCGCGTATGCCGGCCTCGCACAGATGGCGTACATTCCCCGCATTCCCGAGGGACGTGTAGCGGTCCGACTCACCTTTCTCTCAAGCGGCATTCTCGTGGGGGCGGGCATGCTGGGATTGCTGCTGGAGGTGGTGGGCATGTTCGGCTGCTACGTGATCCTGGCGGCGCTCGTGCTCGTCTTCAGCGCCATCACCGTCTTCTCGGTCAGCGAAGCCACGGCTCATCCGCAGAAGGCGGCGCACGTCCCGGCGCTCATTGACGCAGCGGATGACGACGACGTAGACCCCTTTGGTGCGCTCAATGCCCGACTCGCCTACGCGCCACCATCGGGCGATCGACTGATGTCCGGATCACACTGGTCACCAAACCACCACAGAGATGCGCGAAGAGGTGGTCTACGATGTGCAACCCGTCTGGCGTCGAGGGCGGGGCTGGCTGAAGGGCGCGTGCGCGGAGGGGTGGGCCAATCTCCACGCCTCGCTGCGTGACCGCAACTTCGCCTGCGTGTGGATCAATCGGTTTCTGTTCAACTGCGGCTTCCAGGTGATGATGTCGGTAAGATATACCTTTATCATCCATTCATCTGTTGGTCGACGAATCGCCAGCGCTTATCGATTCACTAATGATGTGCGGCGTGAACTACATACTATAGTTTCTGCAATACTTTTTCGATGACGTGGTGGCCAAGCCCTACAACCTCTTTGGCCTCTTCGAGCTTGACCAGCCCGAGCAGGCCACTTCGCTCTTCGTCATCGTCTCTACCGTCGGTTCTCTATTGAGCTCGGTGGTGAGCGGCATCTTGTCTGATCGAAGCGGTACTGCACACGCTTCTTTATTTCCGGCATTCACCGACTCACATCCTATCACCGGCTCACGCGCACGCGCACGTAACCACCGCACACGCACATGCGCACATAACGCCCAGGCCGGCGAGGTCGCCAAGTGTGGCTGTACGCATCAGGGCTGGGACTGACGGGCGTGGCGGTTGCGATGACGGGCACGACCGACTTCTCCGTGATGATGGGCCTTGCGCTTGTGTTTGGCATCTCCTACGGCACTTATATCAGGTGCGCCTCGCCTCCCTCTCGTCTTAAGGCTGGTCTCATAATCATGATCTCTGATCTCGTTCACCGCTGGGCACAGCGTCGCGTTTGCGCTGGTGAGCGATACGCTGCCCTCGTCCGCCCACCACGCCCGCGACATCGGCCTGTGGACCCTCTCCGAGAACCTTCCCGCTGTACTCGCCTTCTGTGTTCCTTGTGTCCTGTCGTTAACGCTCACGCGGCATCACACACACACACACACACACACACACACACACGATATACACACCACAAAACGCAACCCCCGCAGGCCATGGCGCCCCCGGCAGGCGGGCTTCTGTTGGACTGGCTCCAGCCATTGAGTGCCGATCGTACTTCCTTCCTCCTCCCCCTCCCTTGGTCTTTCTTCGCTGCAGCGCTCACCATCGTTTGCTTATTGATGGGGGCACTACAACAACAAAGGGGGCCTGTTCGCGCATCTGGGGTACAAGGCGGCGTTGGCCCTCTCCGCCGTTCTTCTCCTTCTGGCCGTCGTTGTGGCCGCCTTCATCGACTTTCCTTCGCCGGCTGTCGACCAGCCGCCCGAGGAGAGCGACCAGCGCCAGGTCGAAGTCGACCCTCTCACCACCGAGTCGTCGAGCGATGCTTCCAACGCAGCCTGACCACTGCTGTCGACGGATATTATGCGCTGGCCAAAAAAGGTATCCAACCGTTTCAACGAAGTCTGCTGTGGAGTTGTTGCCGGGCAAACTCACATCGGCCGCAACTCTCTCCATCTTCTTCATCCCTTCATCTTCATCTTCATCTTCGAATCCTTATTCGCCCCCCTTCCCCTTTCTGCTTCAGCAGCGCCTTCCTGGGCAGATCTTCTTACTGCGCCCCTCCCCCCCATTTCATCTACCACCATATCAACATCATCATCATCATCACGATGGACAAGAGCAAGGGCACGGGCCGGTTCGCCTTTACCAAGAAGCGGGATTCGGACGTCAATCTCTCCTCCTCCACGCTGCCACTCAGCACCACCACCACCAGCAGTAGTAGCAGCAGCAGCAGCAGTACCACCTGCAGCAGCGCGCTCACCTCCGCGCCCGCAGCGAGGGACAGCAGCAGCCCCTTCATTCCTCTTCACCGCAGCGCGCCCGGCTGCTCCCCCGCCGCCATCTTCAAAGCCGCCGTCGGGAACAACAGGCCCTCCCCCGCTTCCTTCTCCTCCTCCTCGACCACCACCTCGGCCTCGACCTTCTCTCCCCTCTCTTCGTCGTCGCTGACGGAGGCAGAGTTGGAGGCTGCCCTGAACACCAATCCCAGTACGCATGCCACTTCTTCTACGCACGCACGCACGCACACCACGCACACCACACGGCACACACACACACACACACACACACACACGGGCGTGGTGCTGATTGCCCTACTTGGATGGGGCGGAGAAGAGATCTGGCAGAGCATTCGCAGCCGCAAGTCTCCGACACCTACCAGGGGCAATTTGAACGGGAGAGGCTCAGATGATAGTTTCTCATCGTCAGGCTCCTACCTAGCCCGAGGAGGTACCACTCACAGTCCCATGGTCTCCTCTCTCGAGGCCTCAGGAGGTACCACGCACAGTCCCACCCCTCTCGCGGCCATTCCCATTTCTATATTCAATTAGTACTAATTCTATCTATCTTCTCTTCTCCGTACAGCAGACTCCAACGTGCGAGGACCCTCGTACGCACTCGCGCCCGGGTTGCTCATCTCAGCTTCGATTTACTGGGGTGTGTCGTGTGTCGTCTCTCTCTCTCTCTCTGTGTGTGTGTGTGTGTGTGTCGGGCGTGCCAGTGGGGCGGACGAGTCGTGGAAGCAGGCGTACATCTTTGCCGAAGCCGATTCAGAGAGCAACATCGTGTTCAGCGCCACCGAAGGTATCGCCTGGGCTCTACATAACTGACCCAGTTTGAGTCTGCACACACTGAGCCTCGGCGGTTGATGGCGACAGATGGACTGCCGCTCGTCAAGGGAGCGACGGTGCTGAAGCTCGTCGAACGGCTTACTTACCCCACGTACCCAGGTGCGCCGCAGCGCTGTGCCCACTACCACCTATATAAAATGATACTATGACCCTTTTTTTAATTTTTATATATCTAGAAAAATAGATATAGCGTTATTAAACAAAATGTGGTGTACATCGGCAGATCCGGAATTCGTGGCGTCGTTCCTGCTCACCTACCGGACGTTTGCTACGGCGCGAGAGGTCCTGCGGCTGCTCGCCGCCCGCTTCAACATCCCCACGCCCAGCGGTCTCACGGACAAAGCGCTCGCCGACCTCAAGCGCGACTACATCACCCCCGTGCGGCTACGGTACATCTCCTTCCCTTTTCGTTTTGATTCTCTCGCGTTCTCCTCTCGTGGCCATGATATCGTATAACTACCCCATTTCTTTATAATATTTATTATTTTTTCTTTATATAATAATGCGTATTTAATAGGGTGATGAACGTGCTGAAGACGTGGCTGGTGAGTCATTTCTACGATTTTGAGGGCGAGCAGATGGTCAAGGACGTGAAGGAGTTTTTTGAGGCGTCGGTCGTCAACGGCGGCGACCTGGTGATGGCCAAGGCCGGCGCACAGCTCCTGCGCATCCTCGAGAGACAGGTACGTACTTGCACAGCTGAGGTCACGGCGTTGGCGTGTTGCGTGTGGTCGCACTCACGACGAAGATGTCCGTCTCTGGTGGCGACCAGTGCGAGGGGAAGGAGGAGGTCAAGAAATCGCACATGTTCGACGAGCCGCCACCAACGCCCATCCTCGGGGACCTCCACACCAAGGACCACCTGGGGTACGGCGCGATTACCTCCGCTTCTTCCCTTTGCGACTCTCTCTTCTCTCTTTTTTTTCTCGAGACAGAGAGAGTTCTTGAAACTCACCGGTGGACGCACTACCCCTTTACTGCCACAGTAACGGAAACCTGGGCCTGTTGGATGTGCACCCCGATGAAATGGCGAGACAGATGACCCTCGTGGAATGTGCATTCTACATGCGCATCAAGGTACTGCGCCATCTCTTATCCTCCCCCCCGGGGGGGGGGCTACTGACTTTGCTGACGTTGCGCTCGCTGCAGTCGTGGGAGTGCCTCAACCAGGCGTGGACCAAGGAGGACAAGATCGAGCGGGCGCCGAACATCATGGCCATGACGGAGCGATTCAACAAGGTGAGCGCGTGGGTCGTCACGGAGCTCGTGACCGAGAAGGACGACACCACGCGGGTGGCGCGACTCCAGCGGCTAATCGAGGTGGCGCACGCGTGCTGCGCGCAAAACAATTTTCACGGTGGCATGGAGATCCTCTCCGGCCTGCTGACCGCCGCCGCCCATCGCCTCAAGCACACCTGGGCCGTGCTCTCCCCCAAGGCACCCCCCCCCAACCCCTCCTACGGCTGCATTGTCGGCATTCTTTGTTTTTACAACAAAATATTGGAGGCTGACTGTGGCTCATCACACCACGGCAGGTGCAAGGCCTGTTCGAGAGCATCAAGACCACGCTGTCGAGCGAGAAGAACTACCAGACCCTCCGGACCCACTTGCGCACCATGTCCGGGCCTTGCATTCCTTATCTCGGTACACACACACACGCCACCGCACACGCACACGCATAACCGCAACGCGCAAAGCATCCTGGGCCGACGACGTGTCATTGCGTCCGCACTTGCAGGGATGTTCCTGACCGATCTGACGTTCATCGAGGACGGCACACCCAACGAGCTCCCTGGCGGCCTGATCAATTTCGCGAAGCGGCGTAGCTTGGCCCAGGTGATCCGGGAGATCCAGCAGTTCCAGCAGTGCCCCTTCAATTTTGAGGCCGTGCCCGCCATCCAGAAGATCCTGGAGAACGCCAAGCCCCTCTCCACCGACGACGCCTACAAGCTCTCCCTCGGTACACACCCACATCCTCATAAACAATAATTTTAAGCTCAATCTCTCAGTTTTGTTTTTCTCTGATTCTGTCTCTTCTCTTTCTGTACGATGGGCGTGGTGTAGAGATTGCGCCGCGCGGGTCGCAGCCACTCTCGCAGAAGCAGATCAAGGAGATGCGCTCCCGCTACAAGAAGCTCATGCGCGAGGGCCGGGCCAGCGGTCCGCGTAGAGAGGTTAGCGCCCCCTCTTCTCAATTAGCGAACTCCGCCCCAGCCATGTCCTTACCTTTCTCTACGTGGGGGCTTTCTGACAGAGGAACGAGGCGGTGGCGGAAATTGAGCTCGACATTCCAGAAGGGTATCCCTTCGGCCAAAAAGGTTCCGACCAACCACAAATGATGGGAATTCTGTCCAGATCTCATATCATAACACGAATCTATACACACGCGCACATTTAATTGCGGGTCTAGATGATCCGAGTAACCTGGTCCTGGAGCAGCGAGAGGGCCGTGTTGTGGTCAAGTACGCCACCTTGGAGAAGCTGGTGGAGCGACTCACGCACGCCCGATACTCTGGTGCGCCACCATCCCTTTTTCTATGGCGTACAATTGGCGTTGGAACATTACTCTGAGATATATGTATACGGCCATCTTCCTCCCATGCAACATATCCTGCGACGCAGACACCACGCTGGTGAACATGTTCTTGTTGACCTATCGGTCGTTCGTCACGTCGCACGACCTCCTTACGCTCCTGATGGCGCGGTACGCAGCAGCACCAAAGAACAACTTCACCGTTCTTGCGATCTTCTGATCTCTGAGCTCTCTCCTCACGTGGTTGGTATGACGTACGTGCGGGGGGGGGGGTGAAATCAGATTTCGGGTGCCGCTGCCCAAGAACAAGAGCGACGAAGTCCTCTCGGCCTGGCGGAATCAGACGCAGCGACCCATCCACTGCCGGGTGTTCAACATGTGTAAGTCCTGGATCACTAAGTACCTCTACGACAGCGACGCCGTGCGCGACGAGGCCTTCATCAACCGATTCCTCGCATTCCTCGACGAGATGTCTGCGGTACACACGCGCGCTCATACTCCCATTTGCACAACCGTCTCATTTCCTCTGCTGATATAAATTTATCATATGGCCGCACGCCAGGTGGACGACGCCTATCTGCGAGGCGCGGCGGGTCCTCTCAAGGCCAAGCTGACGGCCAAGGCCACCCAGCTGAGCCTGCAGGCTCAGTACAGCCAATCGGACACGAGCGTACGAACCCTCACCACCAGCGGCCTGCCCACGTGTAGAGCACGTGATCCTTAAAGCATTTGATCACACATCAGATGTCGGAGCAGGCGCCTCAATCGCCGCAGTCGCAGTCGCAGCCTCAGGCGGCGAGTGCGCCCGGGAGCTCGATGATGTCCTTCAGCGTGGAGGAGCTGGCGTCGCAGATCTGTCTCCTGGACCAGGAGCTCTTCGTTCAAATTCCGACGTGGGAGTTCTGCGTGCAGGCGTGGAAGAAGAAGAAGGACCGGGGCGTGATGCCCTGCCTCAAAATCAGCGCCTTCAACGCCCGCCACGCCGCCGTACCTCCCTCCTCTTCACTCCCGTAATTTCTTGCTCCTTTTCTTTTTCTTTTGCTCTCTGGTTTGTTTTGTCCATGTCCTCCTGGACGCGTAGCAGCTGACGAATGCGACCACCACCGTGCCCCAGTTGTTGGCGTGGATTCAAAGCGAGATCGTGTCGGGGAAGACCACGCGAGAGCGCAGCGCCCGACTTGGCCACTGCCTCAAGATCATCGAGGCACGACAATTCCCCACCGTGTCAGGCTTGTGTTTGTTAACATTTGCAAGGGGCAGCCTTCACCTGACCTGCGTGCTTGCTTTTGCTGCGCAGAAATGCTACGTGCTGGGCGACCTCAACGCCGTGGCCACGATCGTGAGCGCGCTGCAGTTGCCCGCCATCTCCTCCATGACCGCGGTGTGGGCCGTACGTGGACACACCCCTGTGCCTATCAACAACCTACAACCAACAACCAACAATAATCATCGTTTTTCTCTCCAGGGCATGGCGCCCTACCCGGTCGAGGCGTTCGAGAGCATGAAGCACGTGGTGCAGTCGTGGTCCAACTTTGCCAGTTTTCAGGATAAGCTCGCCACCATGACGCCTACGCTGCCCTACCTATGTACGAACCATTATCAATGCCAACGGGAGTAGAGCCACACACTTTGTTGTGTCTCACTCTCTGTATGTCTCACAACTCCCGTACGTGCCTGCAGACACGTACACGTCGCAGCTCATCTGGCTCGAGATCCATTCGTCGGACAGCGTGGTACGATGGGCCGCGATCCTGCTCGACAATGGTTAAGGGTATGTGCTCACACTTTCACCCAAAAATTGAAAACAATGCAGGCCGGGCTGGTCAACTTTGAGAAGTGGCAAGCGATGGCCGAGATCGTGTTGGAGCTCCAGCGGATGCAGCACAGCCAGGTCGACATCGCGCCGCTCCCCCAGGTGCGACACTACCTCGAGAACTATCCGGTCCTCTCCGCCCAACGCATCGCCGAGCTCGCCCAGCAGGAACTCAGTGATGAGCCGCCCGGGACAGCAACAATTCCTGGAAGGTTCGTACCTCGCCGTGTGTCTCATGGATTCTCAGGCCTGGCCCCCGCAGCATAGAGCGTGCTCTCACGCGTTGTGTGATCCCCGCATACCGCATTGTAGTGGTGCTGGTGCTGGCACGTTGATGCGCAAACACTTAGCCGATACGCAGCCATATATCACCACTCCGTCACCGACCCTAGTGGTACTGTCCCTTCTGCGTTTGAAATTAAACTACCCTCCAATATTGATGTCGTTGTCGTTGTTGTCGTTGTTGCTCGGCCGTCTCTATCTCTCCACCAAGAAACGAGTGACCCACCCCGAGGGTACGTCACCACACCAGACGCATGGTACTTGGGTTGTGCTCAAGATATATAGATAGATAGAGAACTGACAGTCGCCCCTCACCCCCAAATGGTTGTGATCATGGCACAGTTCTGGCGAGCAACCCCGCGCTTCGAACGGCCCTGCGCGATGTTGTGCTGGGCGACCTTATGGCCACCTTGGAGCAGAAGAACGCGGAGATCGTGGCCCTCAAGGAGGAAGTGAGCCAGCTACGCGAAGCCCTCCAACGCATCACCACCACCGCCGCCACCACCACCACTACCACAGACGGCGATACATGAGCGTCCCTCGCCACGATGATTGCGTACATTCTTTTTTATCATATTTTAAACACATTTTTTAGAATCCTGTGTTACTTCTGTTGTTACGCAAGTGGTGAGAAAGGAATACAACTTAGCTCCCACTCTTGGTTCCTACTCACTAAAAAAAGGCACACGTCAGCAACCGCCACAAACAACACGAGCGGCTTACGTAACAGAAACAAAAAAACAGCCCGCAGGCAAGATGTTGAACGTGCGGCGAGATATGATGAGGATGGGAACCAGGGCTGCCCACGGGAGCGGTTATGCGATGCCCCGAACACTAAGTCTGCTGGGCAGAACTTCATACTCGCCCAGTGCTCTCTCCAGATTGCCTCGCCATCCTCTCCTCTCTTCAACCTCCACACAGGTGCAAGTCGTGCAGTGTCCTCAACAACAACAATATCGTAAATAAGCATAGCAATAATTCATCGCAATTATCCGCACACCACCGCTCGCTACATTAATCTGTCAGGTTGTATCTTTTCTTTTTCTTTTTCTTTTTTTTGCCATCGCAGACCACCCTGTACCCGCCCCGTGTGTTGGGCGTACGGCGAGGGCTCACTACGCCCGCGGGTGGTCCACCTCCGGGAGGCAACCTCCCCTACGGTTCGTGGTCCTCCGCTTCTGCCTCCACTTCTCCTCCTCCTCCTCTTCGCTTACCTCGAGGTGCCGTGGAGTGTGCCCGCTCACCTCGCTGGCTGACCTTTTCCCGTGACGTGGCTGGCATTGCGTCGGCAGGCTGGGAGCGATGGAGGAATGTCGCGCCCAACGGACAGCAGACCCCCAAGCAGAGCGCCAGCGGTGCGCGCTCCTCCCAACATGTTGTCTGCCGTTGTTGATCAATTCCTCTGTTGTGGTGGTGCTCACGCCTTGGTGGTGTGGTACAAGATTGTAACTAGACTTATTCGTGTATTTTTGTTTGTTTGTTTATTTATTTTTCTAGGAACTGGTGGCAGCGGCGCGGGTTCGCGACAGCAATCAGGCGGCGGCGGCGGCGGAGGTCCTGAGCGTAATGAAGGTGCGCACCACGACGTGGGCAAGGCGTACACACGTAGTGGAACGGCGCGCTGCTAGCAGCACCGCTACCACGTCTCGATGCCCAAAGGGGGTCAATTCCTGATGAACACGCGTGCGCCAGGTGGTGGCGGCGGCGGCAGCGGCAGCTGGGGTCCGTGGGCGAATCCTCGCGAGAAGGGAGACAAATCGGACAAGAGTGGCGGCGGTGGAGGTGGCGGTGGAGGTGGTGGCGCCAAGCCTCCATTGGAACCGTGGACGAACAGTACGACGTCCTCCTCTTCTCACTTCCCCTCTCCCCCTCCATCGAAGAACGGCCTCCGCGATCGACCGCTTATATGCTCCGTTTTTTTTTTTTTTTTTTGTAGGCTTGGCCCTGGCGGCCGTGGGGGTAATTGCTCTGCCCCTGTTACTCGCTGGCCTGGGAGCCCCCACCCCGACGGGCAGCGAGATCTCATTCCAGCAGCTCACCAACGAACTCCTGCCCGAGGACAAGGTGCGCACACCTGCCCCTCTCCCAATCCCATCAGACGAGAGCTCTCTTACAAATCGAACGGGCCATTTTGATTTCCCTCTTCCTGCTGCTGCTTGGGTTGAACTCACTTCGTGTGGGTGTGGGTGTGGGTGTGGGTGTGGGTGTGTTGCTCGAAACGGCAGATCGCAAAGCTGGAGGTCGTCAATGGAAACCGAGTGCGCGTCTATCTCAAGGATGACGTACGGCCCCACACCACCCAGAGGCGTCCATGTGTCTCGCTCACTCCATTTCCCTCCATTCCACGTGTGGCAGGCGACGCGCGACCCGAGGACCGGAGAGCTGCAGCATACGAAGGCGGCCTACACCATCACCATCGGGTCGGTGGAGACGTTCGAGAAGCAGCTCGAGGAAGTCCAGCGGCTGCTCGAAATCGACCCTCACCAGTTCATTCCCGTCACCTACACCACCCTGCCCGATTGGGGGTACATGTTTACCTACTTCGACGGGTAATCTTTTTACTTGCACCTGGTGGCTAGCTGACGTGGCGTGACCATCACTCGCTTTCAGGGGAATGCTGGCGAATTGGCTTCCGCCACTGCTGTTGGTCGGCTTCCTCGTGTGGATGACCCGCTCCTCGCTCAAGGCTGCTGGCGGACCGCTCAAGGTGTGCCTCATCATGCGCGCCTTCTCCTGCAGCTCTTCCCTGGATTGGCCTTTTGCTGATGCTTCATCGATGCGGACGGTTGGGGGGCATCGTGTGGTGTGACGTGACAGGGCATGTTCGACGCGGCGTCCAATCCCGCCAAGCTCTACAACAAGGAGACGGGCGTGAAGCTCAGCTTTTCCGACGTGGCCGGCCTGGAGGAGGCCAAGGAGGAGATCATGGAGTTCGTCTCCTTCCTCAAGTTCCCCGAACAGTACCGCGCCCTCGGCGCCAAGATTCCCAAGGTTAGCCCCCACCCACGCACGCACCCACGCACGCACGCACGCACCGTTTGTCTGTCGGTGCCGAGGAGACTTCTCGAACCACTCCTCACCTCCAACACTCGCGGCACACAGGGAGCACTCTTGGTGGGTCCGCCCGGCACGGGCAAGACCCTCCTGGCCAAGGCCACCGCTGGCGAGGCCTCCGTCCCCTTCTACTCCGTGTCGGGTTCGGACTTTATTGAGATGTACGTCGGCGTCGGTCCTGCCCGGGTACATATGTCCCTCGCCCCCCCCCTCCCCTCTAGCAACCATGACACACTGTGCCCGACGATCGGCCAACCAGTCGACATTCGAGCTCACTTATATATGCGTGGGTTCCGACATGTGTCAGGTGCGTGGCCTTTTCGAGGAGGCGCGCAAGAACGCCCCGTGCATCGTCTTCATCGACGAAATCGACGCCGTGGGACGCGCTCGTGGCAAGGGCAAGTTCAAGGGAGGCGGCAACGACGAGCGCGAGAACACCCTCAACCAGCTGCTCGTCGAGATGGACGGTGCGTGGGAGTGACACACGGCAGCCCCCCCCCAATTTCGTCTTCTACACGACATAAGGGCTGGGCTTTTTGAAGCTAACTCTCTCCGGATATGTGCACAATAACAGGATTCAACTCGCAAGCCGGAATCGTGGTGCTGGCCGGCACCAACAGACCCGACATTCTCGACCGCGCGCTGCTGCGGCCTGGCCGTTTCGATCGCCAGATTGCTTTGGATAAGCCCGACGTGAAGTCCCGCGAAGCCATCTTCCTGGTGCACCTCAGCAAGGTCTCCACTGAGAAGCCGGCCCCGGAGATCGCCCCGCGACTCGCGCAGCTCACCCCGGGTTTCTCAGGTTCGGCTGACCGTTTGCCTCGCCCCTCTTCTCGCCCGCCTCCACGAAGCGAGCGGAGCCGATGATGGAGGCAATCATTGCGCGCAGCGCCACACGGTACAGCTCATCACTCTGGCCCTCTCCCCCCCTTGCAGGAGCCGACATCGCCAACGTGTGTAACGAAGCCGCCCTCATCGCGGCCCGCCACAACAAGCTCGCAGTCGACGAACAGGACTTCGAAGCGGCCATCGACCGGGTACGGCTGCTTCACTCCCCACGGCAAATATCTAATCAGTTGCCTTTTCTTTTCAAAGCTGACATGCATTCCTGCATTCCAACCGTTGTGTCCCCCGCAGGTGATCGGAGGGCTGGAGAAGAAGAACAAGGTCCTCAACCCGGAGGAGAAGCGAACCGTCGCCTACCACGAGGCGGGCCACGCCGTGGCGGCCTGGTTCCTCCGGCACTGCGACCCCCTTCTCAAGGTGCGCTTCCGCCCCTGCTGCTGCGGCCTCATTTCTTTTTCTGCCCTCTCCCACCCATTCCTTCCCCGCTCACCGTGACTGTCTCGCGGCGGCCGGCAGGTCTCGATCGTGCCTCGCGGCCAAGCGGCGCTGGGCTATGCGCAGTACTTGCCCAAGGACACCTACCTGGTGACCCAGGAGGAGGTACCGCCCCGTCATTGCCCCCTCCCCTCATACCATTCCTCGCGAAACCAGGTACTAATGCGCCACTACGGTACGCCGTCCACGCTTCGGCACACACACACACCACACACACACGACACACACACAGTTGTTCGATCGAATGTGTATGGCTCTGGGCGGCCGCATCGCAGAGCAGCTGGAGTTCCAAAAGATGTCGACCGGCGCGTCGGACGATCTGGACAAGGTCACCCGCATGGCCTACTCCCAGGTACGCCGTCCTTTCTACCGCTTTCCCCCCCCCTCCGAGTCTCTTGGGTGTACCTCCGAGGTACCGTGTTCAGTAGTGAACTGAGGGTTTGAGTGTGCACGCACACCAGGTGATCGGCTACGGCATGAACGAGCGCGTGGGACCCATCGCCTTTAACCCCAATGAAGAGAGCTCCGGCCGCCCCTACAGGTACGGAGGAGCACTGCTTTCTCGCGAGAACTTCCCTCGCCTCCTCCCTCGCCCCCAACAAACGAACCACCTGTACCTGGTGCCCCGGTGCTGGATGAGGATGACCGCGCTCACCACATCGACGCACACCCACCCACACAGCGAGAACTTGGCCGAGATCGTCGACGAGGAGGTGCGGGAGATGGTCAAGAAGGCCTACGCCACCACTCGCGCCCTCCTGCAGGACAAGTACGAGGGCCTCAAGCAGGTGCGGCAGCCTCTCTCTCTCACACACACACTCACTCTCTCCTCCTCTTCTTCTTCTTCTTGCCGCGGAATTCCATCGCATCATCGCTCACTCATTGGTACAATCCCATCTATGATTTGGGATATGTGGGGTCTGTTGTCTGTGTCCATAGGTGGCCGAGCTGCTGCTGCAGAAGGAGAAGATCCGGGGCGAGGACCTCGAAGCGGTGTTGGGTCCGCGGCCCTTCAAGGACACGGCGCTCGAGGACATCAGGCACCTGCTCCCCGCCGGCTACGACGAGATGGAGAAGGCGCGCGAAAAGCTCTTCCACGACGAA